TATGTAATACAGATTGCAGTTGACCAGCCAGGTAGATATTTAGACATTTTGGCAACTTTCCCACACGTCAGGAGTCATTTCAGTTTCTTTCGTGACTCTGACCTTGGAATTGAGACATCTGCTGAAAGGCAGAACTGTTCATGGTGTTTCAGTGACCATTTGTGTTTTAAGAAATGCTAAATAATCCCTATGTGCTACTGCCATGAGCCTGAGACTTTAAACATACCATTAATTGTAACATTACCACATTTACAATGGGAGCTTGTGTCATTTGCAACATCACTGCTAGATGGTTGGCTTTACTTTAGCCCCTACTTAATAGACTATCAACATACTACGTCCTAATGCTCTGCCTAGAGTTGTATCCAGGCCCGTGCTCTTGTCCCAGCTTCTTGTTGATGCCCTCTTCTTCCCCTCCCCTCCCATCCTCAAAATACATGCATATACAAGGAGTGTCGCTTTAAAGGCAATGGCTTAATCCACATGAATTCCTGTAGCAAAAGAGAAGTGAGCAGCAACTGTTCAAAGAACAAAATAACTTTCTTCCTTGCTGGGAATGAATGTTGTGTCTAGTAATCTATGAGGAAATGCAATGGGAAAGGGAGTGTGGAAAATCTAGTTTAGAACTTTTAAAACTAGAACTGGGTATCGGGAGAGTGGCATGGAGACAGTCCCTGTCAGCTGTCTGCCTTGCTGCCTGGAGCTGGGACTGGGAAGAAAAGGTATGACCAGCTTGAGCATCTGGGAGGGATTCTGTAGCCTGGGTTTAAGTAGTAGTCACCAAAGCTTACTGAGGCATTTCGCCAAGTATATATATTTTTACCTGTAGTTGGCCAACCTGCTGACCAGAAGTATGGTTTGAAGGCTCCAGGGGGAGACAGTTGCCCTTTTGGAACAGTTTTGCCCCAGCACCCCTCAAGCAATGCTTGTTATCGACCCCAGCCACCCTGAAGATAGGCTAAGTGTTACTGCTTGTCCTGTTACCTTTCCATACCTTCCATAGTGTCTTTCCTCTCCTTCAAGCACGATGTCCATCTGAATCCTGAGGTGCTGCAGCATCTTCTGTAGAATGGTCTTCCATGTTAGATGTTTCTTCCTAACTGCAATGAAGTGGGAACAAGGTGGTAGGTGTTGCAGCCCTCCTCCTCAGTGGAACCCGTGGAGGAGTGTAAAGCAAGTTTGTTGGCCTTTGAGTGCCTACAAAGGTTACAGCATGCTTATCTGTCACCTGCAGTTACCCTCTGCAGCTGTGAAGTGTTCAAAGATGCAATATTCTGAAAATTGCTCATCTGGGTTAGAGAATAGGTTAGGGTCAAGGTGAAGCCAGGCTTTGAACAGGATGGCCTGTCTGGTGCTGGGAGCTTACTTCTGTGCCAGGATCATCACTGTGCTGGGGAGACTCCCTTCGCCTGGACCCACTGATCTGGGAGGAGCCAGGCATTTGGACTGGGAGAGACAGGTCAAAGTATTCGTGTTAGTAGTGAGAGTAGAAGGAGGCTGCTGTGATAATGTCAGCCTTCTTTACCTTTTTATTCTGAATCAAATAGTAGGTAAAGGATGTGCTGCTGGCTCAGTGTGTTAGTGGATGAGCAGCAGATAAGTGCAGCAGATATTTTGACATTGTTTGTTATGAATCTGCTCCATGCTCTACCACTTGTCTGGATGGAGGAATAATGCCAGTTCATGTGCTTCAGAGATTACCCAAAGTGCTATGAGCCTCCTTTTCCCTCCTCTTCTCCTTTAGTCCAGTAGTTTGCTTATGTCCCCGTTTTCCACTGATTTATGAAATGCCTTGCTATGAAATGAGTATTTGTTTAGAAATAGGAGTATTGTGACACAAAACCTCTTTTTTTTTTCCTCCTCTGGGCTTACCACCTAGAACTCATTTCCTGACTGTGAACCCAATATTGAAAGCAGGAACAAAAGTTAGACTTTACCCAAATTTTTTACTGTGAACAGGATATCCGTGCCAGCAGTGGTGGAGAGACGTCAAGGAGATTTATGTGGATGTGTCTTTCCAGGTGCCTTCTGAAGTCCGAGTGACAAAATTTCCTTTTTTGTATTGCTTTAGTGATGAGAAGTAAATGACCTTGTTATGGCCAGCTCAACAGGAAGGTAACTAAGGACAAGAACTAAGAAGCAAAATTCATAACAAGCCATAGAGCTTCTTTCACTGGAACTGGATTAATTTTAGATATTCTTAATGCTGTATTAAAAATAGAGCGTGCTGGTACTATCTCAGAGTAGGGAAGGAGGAGGCGGTGTTGAAGAGCACAGAAATGAGCAAGTAAAACAAAGTTACTATGTGAGAACAACAAAGGTGGGAGAAAGAAGAGACAGTATGGAAACACTGCAGGTGGTGGAACTTGTGAAAAAGAATGCAACCGGAGAACTTGATGTAATGGAAAACTTCCTTTTAATGGATTAGAAGTCTTTAAAAGGCACTGTCCCAAAGATAATATCTTCCCTGGGGATTTGTTTTAATTGCTAATGGTTCTGAAAAGAATACTTCATTGAAGAAGCTTAGTGGTAGGCCTTATTTGACTAGGTTGGTTGTTTTTTTTTTTCTCCTACTTCTTACTAGTAGCTTGACATGCATTGTCATTCCTTGTTTTCACAAAAAGCTTATATTCAAATTATTTTTGCATGCTTTTCACTGTATCATGCTGTGCATCTCTCCATGTTGATTCAAGTATAGAAGAACACACTTTGAAGTCATATCGCAGCAGAATTAGCTTTATAATTAGCTTTACAGCTCTACTGTAAGAATAAATTCTTGGGAAAAAGTTAGTTGTTTGTTTTTTTTTTTTCATTTGTTTTAAATTATCTGAGCACCAACATAGTTTTCAAAATAAATGTAAAATTGCCAAACCTAGGTAGTGGATGGAATTTTCCACATTGGCTGTTGACTGAGATTTTGCTGTCATGGGGGTCAGAAGTTGACATAAAGATGAGTATCGTGTTCTCAAGACAGAAATTTCATCTGCATGTTGGACATTTTCTTTGCTGCATTTTGGTAGAGAAAGGCTGTTTAGAAGTCAAATAGCACTAGGGTGAGAAGTGGCGGAGAGGCTTGTCTGGGGGATGGGACTTCATCCTTTCTAAATGATGAGTCCTCTGTTCTCTCTGGGAGTGCGTTACAGGGACATTGCCATGGCTGATAAGCACGTCCTTACAGCACTTGTTCTTTTTATAGCTGGTTGAAGAATATTTTTAATTAACTCCCTTATATGGCCAGAATAATCTCCTAGTTCTAAAATATTTCATCTGTTTTTAATAGTGGAAGGGGAATGCCCTTGAAAATAGTTTTAGTTCTGAATTAAATGCATCAACTGATATTAACAGTTCAAAACTAACCAGGTATAGTTAGTGTAGTGGTTGAAGAGTTATTTTATGCACTTTCTTCTGGATATTTGAAACAAATTTCTTTTTGTTTGTATTTCTCATCTCAGATGTATAAAAATAAGAAAAACGAAAGTTTAATGTATAAAAGTGAAGTACTCAATTTTTATGTAGTTATCTTTAAGTGCATTGAGCAACCAAATGTAATTTTAATATTGCTCAGTTTCTTGATATTAGCAAAACATGCGTTTATCTGTAGATTCGAACTTTTATGTTAATTATACTATTTTTTGATAGAATAAGATATATTTTTTTGTTTTTTTAAATCTTGGAAGATAGACAATAAAGATATGGACGACCAGATCCAAGCTTGGGACATAACAGAAATATTCAGTGAGTGAACATGAAACCTTGGTTCAGGTTGCTAATGTTCTGCAAACAGCTAACAACAATATTAGACAGCATTACAAAATTTTAGAAGAAATTCTAGCATTAGAGAAGTAATACAATCCATTTGTTTTCTGTTTTGCTAGGTTTTGATAGCGAGGAAAATAATCTGGCAGTTTTAAACTTGATGGGCAGAACTTGGTGTTTTATGTTTAAAGCCAGCTTGAAGGTTTTGTTTTTCTGTAATTTTGTATGAGTAAGATGTAGCAGTGAATACTCAGACAAACTCATTTGAAATAAAACTTTCTTGTAATGTGTATTTTGCTAATTCACACTGTAGGGTTTTTTTAGTAAACTATGTGGTGACAGTTTCTGTGCAGCTCAGCGTTTTCTCTGAATTTATTTGCAGTAAACACTAGTTTATTAGCACTAGTCTCTTAAGTCTAGACTTGGTATGGAATTGTTATTTAGTGGAAATTATTAGTTGTTATTTTGTTTAAAGCAGTACCTTATAATTTCCAGGGTTTATAAAAATACCTATATGAAAATCCTGTATTTGCGTTACCCAAGTGGATGTAAGGTAGGAAGTAAAATGATAAAACGATGAGAAATAATGGGAAGCCAGAAAGTAACTTTGGAATTGCTTAACTCAAAATTGATTTTCTACCTGATGTGTCATAATCTTTGTGCGTAAGGTTGTTAAGGATTTAAATTCTTAAATTCTGAGGTATTATTAGAGACAATTTTAATTTCATTAACCTCTTCTGTTTAAAGAGCCTTTTTGGTCAGCAGTCTGCATTAAATATTTTTTTTTCTGACCATTCTTAAGCAAGGTCAAGCAAGTATGCTTTGCTAAAATATTTATCACTCCATAGTGATACGTGGCTGCTGACTGAACACAGGGTTTTTTTTTTTTTTTCCTGAAACTATACAGATTTTTTCTTTTAGTCACAGAAATAATGATCTGTGTGTTCCAGGGAAGTTGAAGTAATGAAACTGTTGTCCAGTTTAATTCGATGAGCTGTGAATCACACATTGAGGAGCTATCTTTACTTTTACTCTTTTCTCTTTTCTTGTGTCTGGCCTCGTTAACAGAATTTGATACTGAAGTTTTTCACGTGTTTGGTGCCTTTATGTAGATGTCACAGGGGTAATCAGATAAGCTTACAGTATTGCAGAGCCCTCGCGTGAAGTAACTGCTTCTGTGCTAGCGTGAGAGAGCAAATTTCTGAAAAAGGAGAGGGTACTCGGGGAGTAAAATCCTATCCAGGATGAGGCAGTATGTTCAAGTTCCAACTGTTGAGCAAGAAAAAGCCTATGATTATAATTCTGCTTTTGAACCAAGACCATGTATGTGTTTGGGTAGGTGAAATTACCGTTTTCTGATAACGTGGAATGTTTCTTCTTACTGCTGTTGTGTAGAATAAATGTGTGTAAAAAGAAGTGCCTGTACAGCTGGGAAATATGTACAGTCTTAACATGTAAAATGCAGATTACAGGATTCCTTTAGCAGAAGAGAACATGCATGTTTAAACTTGGAAAATCCCACTATTGCAGAAGTAAATAATAAGTACTGTTTAAACCTTTTATGTTGACTATCATGTAACAGTGTGAACTTCTCTGTAGATACCACTTTAACCTTCATATTTGCTTGTATAAAATGACATGAGGATGTCTTCAAGGGGAAGACCATTAAAATGTAAATTTTGCCTGACACTGAAAGGGAACTGTCATAGGATTTTTCGGCAATAAACCTGCACAGAATGGAACATGTTCTTTTTACCTGGCTTAGTGACTGTGTTCTGTAGACCTGCAAAACAGCTTATTTGTGTAAAATGAATCTGTTTATTTGGATCAGCTTTTATCTGGGTTAAATTTGTATCCAAGAAGTAGAGAATCTGTTTTCAATTGCTCAGCTTCTCTCCATCTTTTAAAACATTCATCTTTTCTGGTCTACGTAGTGAAATGTTCCTAGATTTTTTAAAATTTTTTTAAGTTCAATCTATTTTTAATGTATGTTGTTAAGACTTGACTTTTGTGTGTATTTTTTATATTTGTACTTCTGTTTTTAAACCTATTTCTATGTTTTTAGTAATCTTCCCTGGTTATATCAAAACACTGGGCAATGATAAATAATTTTCTCACAAAGTGTGTCTCATGACTGTTAATTGTTTTGGGTTTTGCTTTTGGTTTTCTTTTTTTGTGTGTTCTTTGGAGAGCCTGGCACTTTTTTTTTTTTCCCCTGGTAGTGTTCTCCGTAAATTTCTTTACTCAAAATATCTTTGGAGGCTGAAAGCTTTGATAGATTAACTCTAGCTTTCTAATGATTTAATTTAGAAAATTCTTTTAATGACATTAAAATTAATATTAATTTTAGTTTTCTATTTTGATGGTAGGGTTTTCTTTTTCCATGTAAACTGTGCTATAATTAAATAAATAGCAATGTAAATATACTACTGAAAGTCCAGGATGGGGAGAAGAGAAAATTTTCAAATTTTATGTAATATACTTCTTGTTAGGCCTTTTTTAATGTCAAAATTCACTGTGTGCTATAAATTTGAAGAGCAGTATTTGAACACTATTGAATTTCCATTACATGAAACCATCTGGTAAGGCTGTCAGAATGAGTTGGTACCCTTATCTGATATTTCATCCTTCTCAAAGGACTGACTGTATCCAGGTTTTGTGTTTAATTTATGTAATTACCACAGTTCTAAAACATCACTTGAAGGCTTAAATTGTGGTCCTTTGCAAGGATTTTCTCTCCTGTCACTTATAGAGGGAGAAACTAACTCTAGAAATATTTTAATTGCCTCTGTCTTGCATACAATATTTTATGATATTTTCTGTTCTTACTATGTTTTAGATAGCTGTAGGAAAATATTTTCCTACAGTTATTGTAAGAATATTTTATTATACTTAGGAGTAATCAAACATACTGTTTACTCTGGACCAATGTTAGTGGTCCATCAGGTAGAAAATCGAGTAGAAAAACACAAGTACAGAGCGTTGAGCCAGCTGCAGAGCTACATACCTAACTCAAGAAACATCTAACAATATTAGGTGGTTTTTAAAAATATTACGTGGATTTTGCTGGTGTTACTTGAATTTCCGAATAGTGAATGATATACTAGACACTAATGAGGTACTCCTTTCTTATGATTTTACTTACTTCTGAAATGTTACACAACATTTATCTCAATAGAATCTATTTGTACAACTATCTGAATTATTTCTGGTTTAAGTCAAGCAGGTTTTTAACCTCTTTTGATACTTACGTTTTCCAGTGGCATATGAAATAGCTCTGATTTTAGCTACTATGGACTTGCAGCTTTTATGTAAATGTAGATTTTTACATTGGTTAGACTTCTGTGAGTAGGAGATGTCAACAGAAGGAGTCATATGAAGAAATTAACAGAGTAACAAAGTACTATTTTACACAAAAATTCTCAATATTCCAGTTGTTTATTCCCTGCATGTTTTTTGTTTTCATAGTTATATATTGAAGTTGTAAGTCTGTGTTCATCTTACTGGTGATATATGACTCTATAATGCATGAATTGAGTCAAAAGACCACTGAGGAGAACTTAAAGTGTGCTTTTAAAATCATACCTCTATCTTTGACAGTTGTTTCTGATTAAATAAATTGCAAGCATTAAGTTGTCACACTATGAGCACAATTCAGCTTTTTGTCCAAAAGACAAGTAGTATCAGAAGACAGGTGGAATAGAGGGACAATATCTACATATTATGTAGCCTTGCAATAAAAACAAGTACAGGAGGGGGAAGTCTTTGTCATGAGTCTCCCAGATGTTCTGGTAAGTATGGTTAAAAACAACTAAGGTTTCTTGGATATCTTAAGCAAAGAAATACAAATCCTGATGTATTTGTCTAATACTTCTTTACATCCTGAAAAAATTGCACATAAATTATAATCATCAAAGTTACTGCCAAGATATCCTTTGTTCTTTTCCCTATTTTGATTTTCAGTAAAAGCTTTTGCAGCTTTTACTATTTTTAGCAAAGTGTTTTATGATTTTTTTGGAGTACATAAATGAATACCTTTCATAAGGTACTTGTAAGATATTTAGCTACTCTGAATGCTCTAGGTACTGAGATTTGAAAGACCAGGCAGCCACTGATCTGCATGCATACTTGCTATATTATTATTCAGTATATTATTTTCAATTTAGTGGCTCTTATGCGTCAGAGCTGCTGTAATGTTAATCTGAGGCATGACCAGCGAGTTAGTCTGATAATATGTCCACTGAAACATTTAAAACTTGATTTGTCAAAACATTTAAATTCCTTGGGAATAAATATGCACTGGTAAAACAACTGGACAGATATCTAGAAACATTTTTTTAGGTTTGTTTTTTTTTTTTTGTGCTGAGTTTTTACTTCAGGTAAACTGGAATTATTCCAAAGTTCTAGTAGTCCTGAATACTAGAAAAAACAAACCATACTTTGTAGGTTTCCGTCTTGTTAGAGCAGGCAGTGTGACTCTTTTTAAATTGATAAAATTGCAGGTTACATGTATTGTTCTGATTATCTTTATGCGAGTACAGTATTAGTGGCAGAGTAGAAATGAGATGAGAAAAATACCTTTCTTCACTTCAAGTGACTGTCTTTTGACTGATACCCAGTAAAACAGCGGGATAATGAAGGGAGAGCTTGTTTTGTATTTTGTGCTTTACATTGCTTTATATGGTTGCCTGTAAAACAGAAGATTTCATAGTTGATGTTTTTGTAGAGGAGTGAACATAATGAATGTTTGGTTATGTTTTGAAATGATCATTCAGAATGAAGGTAAAGCAGTAAATGAAGTAGCCTTGGTTTTAATATTACTAAATCTTGAATTTCTTGATTTTTCTGCATGTTTTAAAGTATGGCTGGATGGCAGGTGCATTTTAATACTCAACATGCTTGCATATTTTCTCATGTATTACATTATAATAGTAGTTTTGCTTATTTGACTTCTCAGTCATTTTCAATTACCTTAATTTTTCTTTATTGCTGATAGTAACGAGCAGCTGAATTCACTGTATTTTTTTTCCTCCTTGCTTGTCAGCTAGTCACTTAAAATGAAAATACCGGAGTTTCTAAAACTTAATTCTAAATTCTGTTGGGTAAATCTCTCTGCAGGAGTGTGCTGTTGCTGTGCTGCTTTGCGACCTCGCTACAAGCGTCTGGTAGATAACATATTTCCTGAAGATCCAAAAGTGAGTGACGACTTTAAAATTTTGAGGGATTGGCATTCGAAAAATGTTGGTTAGTAACTAATGATTTAGCCATTTTTTAAAAATTTTATTTTTTCTCATCTATTTTCACATTTTACAGTAAATTCTGCTTTAACGCTTCATAGCTTTAATAGAGGTTAGTATAATAATTTAACTGGAAAGGGACCTCTACAGATCATCTGGTCTAATTCCCTTTTCAAAGCAGGGCTGTGCATATTGAAGAGTGAAATTAGTATGTTATGTTCAGAGAAATAGAGGTTTAATTAAACAGGGTATTCTGCAGCAGAGGTAGCACTTAACTTCATAACTCCACTACACTTGTTATGTTTGCAGGTGTGAACATTTTCTGGTTTTTTACAAGATTTTGATTTTCTAACTCTTGACATATTTACTGCGTAAGTTTTTATAGTTCTGGTAGACTGTTGTGATCCAAAGAGGTTTTTTGCTGTTGTTGTTGTTGATTTTAAATTTCTCCAGTTATTCATATACAGTTTTTTAATTTCACTTGAACAATCTTGGAGCTATATTACAGCCCAGCTCTTACTGTCTGTGAAAATAAATAACTTCTATGTTACCATTTAGTAATGTGTGTTTCTATACATAGTCACGTGGTGGTTCAGACTAATAAAGAGCTTATATTTCTACTGCTGTATTTTCTTAAAATTTGTTACCAGATTTTGTTATCTTCTGTTATAGCGGAAGTAAGCTCAACAGTCAGCGTTTGTATAGTGTTTGGCTTATATCTTATAAACTACGTGGGCTTTTCTTTAAAATGCGTTGTTACTGGTTGCTAGTTACTATGTGAGTGTATGTTACTGGCTTCAGAGAAAATATTTCCTGCCTATACAGTATGTTGAAAGCATGGAACAATATGATTTTATAGATTTATTTGTTTTAATCTACTTGTTTGATACAGGTTTAGAAACAATCAGAATTGCTACAGTGGTAGTCTTATATTTTTAGTCTCACTCAGCAGCTCTAAGTTGGCACTCCTTAGTCTCTGCTTTTGTTAATATTCGTTGGCTCAGTGCAAGACACCAGCCAGTTCATGTTGTTTCACTGAGTTACAGGCCTTTCCTAAAATATGAGAAGACTTGCTTGATAAAATGCATTAATCCATAATGAGTGTGTTAAAAGCTTCGAAGTAATTTATTTGAAAAAGATAATGTTTTTGTGAACCTCTGGGCGGGGGGGGGGGGGGGGGGGGGGGGGGTGAAGACAAAAAGCCTTATTCTTCTTACCTGATAGTTATAACCTCACCTGAGGAGATCCATATCTCAGTTCACATTGGAACTAATAAGTTAATCTTTGATCTTGCTCTAACAATTAGCCTTCAGGTACCCTGTACGTCAGCCTTGTCCAAGATGTGACACTGAAGAAATAAAATACTTAAGCTACAATTTTGTTTGTATATAATGTCAAAATTATGCATCAAATATACTTTTGGGGGCGGAATGGGAAAAGAAAAAAAATTACATTGTACCAGTAGGGAAAAAATGTGTCCTAGCACTGATGACATATGTCACTAAATACCTTATTTTGGAATACCTGTTACCCCCCAAAAATAAGATGGGGGAAGATTGCTGGTTCATTTCTTTAAAAAATATTTTACTTCATTTTTTATGGTGGTGATTTTTGCAGCTAAGCTATTGACAGTTTTGCTCAAAAGTGATTTTTTTTTTTTCAGTAGCTTATTCCCATCTGTATGGCTCAGATCTTTAAATGTTGCGTAGACAAAAGGAAAAACACTTCAAAAGCTTTATACTTTCTGTGAACTTTTTTATTTTATATTTTGTATGTCTGTTTTTAGGATGGTCTTGTTAAAGCTGATATGGAGAAGCTGACTTTCTATGCAGTTTCTGCGCCAGAAAAGCTGGATCGAATTGGTGCTTACCTAGCAGAGAGACTGAGTAGAGATGTTGTCAGGCATCGCTATGGGTAAGGAAATAAGTCACAGCTTTAAAAATAGATGCTAACAGGTAGCTGCATTTTATTATATTTGTTCTGATTGTATTTAGGACGTAAGACAGACCCAGTTCCTTTGTGGTGAGTTAATGTTGCGGGGGTTGCAGTGAGCTCATAACACTTTGTCTCTGTCACTCCTTCCTCCTCACGCTCTTACCCTGTTCCAGCATGGGGTCCCTCTTACAGGATACAGTCTTTCACGAACTTCTCCAACATGGGTTCTTCCTACAGGTTGCAGTTCTTCAAGAACTGCTCTGGCGTGGGTCCTACAGGAATGGACTGCTCCAGCATGCATCCCCCATAGGTCCTGTCAGAAAATGTGCTCCAGCGTGGGCTTCTCTCTATGGGCTGCAGCTCCTGCCAGGAGCCTACTCCAGCCTGGCCTTTCCATGGGCTGCAGCTTCCTTCAGGGTGCATCCACCTGCTCCAGTGTGGAGTTCTCCACAGGCTGCGGGTGGATATCTGCTCCCCCGTGGTCCTCCATGGGCTGCAGGGGGACAGCTTGCCTCGCCATGGTCTTCACCACAGGCTGCAGGGGAATCTCTGTTCCAGTGCCTGGAGAACCTCCTCCCCCTCTGTCTTCACCAATCTTGGTGTCTGCAGGCCTGCTTCTCATATTTTTCTTACTCCTCTCTCACAGCTGCTGTGCAATGTTTTGTACTCATTCTTAGATATGCTATCACAGAGGTGCTACCAGCGTTGCTGATGGGCTCAGCTTTGGGCAGCAGCAGGTCCAGCTTGGAGCCAGCTGGAGCTGGCTCTGTCTGACATGGGAGCGGCTCCTGGTGTCTTCTCACAGAAGCCACCCCTGCAGCCCACCTGCTACCGAAACCTTGCCATGTAAACCCAAAACACCCTTGAATGTCATTCAGGGTATTGGGAAGTGGGTATATCTTTCTTTTCAGTCCTTTCGGCTAAATTGTATTTAAATGTGAACTTTAAAACTCTGTCATACTCTTAAGTCCTACTTGAGCTAGAAATTTGAAAGAATGTAGAGTCAAAAGAAGAGAAGATTTTAAAGAATGTGGAAATGGAGCAAGAAAATACTGAGTCTAGGAAGTGGCAATACCCATCACAGGCCATCATTATTGGCCTTCGTGATGTCAAAAGCTATTTTTATAACTTTATAGAATGGGTTAATGGCCATTCTTTAGGGTAATTAACTTTGTTCCCTGCTTTTCTTTACTCTTTTTCATTTACTTAGCATGTTGTCTGACTGTGCAGGAGCATGAATAAGTCATTGGCTTTCCATACTGGGATTTGGATGGACAGAGGAGCTGTAGACTAGAAAGCTGGGATTTATAGTTGGAAATAAAATGTGCTAGAAAAGAAAATTGAACTATGTTTACTATAATTACCAGGTATTATGACATCTCTTCTAAAAATACTCTATTCTACTCCCCGCCCCCCTCCCCCCCCCAAAAAAGGAAAAATAGGAAATACCAATAGCTTCCATTTTTAGATAATGCAAAAATATATGCCTTCCACCCTTTGTTTTCTAATTTTTGTAGTAATAAGTACCTAAATTGAATTAATTGAGGTAATGATAAATGTGGCACATGTTTACATGAGTGTCTCTAATTAATTTTCAGGTATGTTTTAATTGCCATGGAGGCATTGGACCAACTTCTAATGGCTTGCCATTCTCAAAGCATAAAACCGTTTGTGGAAAGTTTCCTTCATATGGTGGCCAAGCTTCTGGAATCAGGCGAACCAAAGCTGCAAGTTCTTGGAACTAATTCTGTGAGTAAACTCGGATACTATATCAAATCAGAATAAATCTTTGCTTATTTGCTATGGGGAAGTAGTTTCAGAAGTCCTAAAGTACCTGCCCGTTAACATGAATTGAGAAGATTCTGTATGTGGCAGGGTGTACCATTTGGGCCTAAACACAGAGCAGATACCAACTGGAGGCAGAAAAACTGTTTCCTTTCAGTCTCTGAAATTCTTTTGATGGCTGGGCTCATCCCCTGCAGAAATAACTACTTCTGGAAGGAACAGGAAAGCTGTTCTGTGAATTCATATTTTGAATCTTTAAACAGACCTCCTGAAGCCATTGTATAGGTAAGACACTGTTTTCTTGCTCTCCAGCAGCAAGAGCAATGGTGTGAGAAGGAGGAAATAACATCCTTCTCCACAGCACTGACACTGCACAGAAAGATTTCTGTTAGCTGAAAAAGTGTCAGGAGGCAAACTCTTTCAGTATTACAACCTCACTGTCTTACTAGCTTAAATATTTCAGGATTTAGATCCAGGCTTGAAGGGCATAACTAAAAGTGTCAAAATGAAGATTTGGAGATCTAGTTTTCCAAATAGAGCGATGGGTGCAATCAGTATTATCGTTTTGTCATACTTCCCTTTTAACCATGGTATTTCCAGCTGGTACAATAGGAATCTCATAAATTCCAGGGTTGTGATGTGGATTGTTTTCACTTAGAGTGATTGCTTTTGCATGAGTAAAGAAGTAATGCTTGCGTTTCTTCTACCTTGCCATTGTTAGCAGTGTGGGTGTTCTTTGTGGATTCTGTAAAACTGTTGGGCTTTCCTTTGGGCATGATTCCCAGTTGATGGAATTAAATGGAGCTTCAGTTCAGGGAGACAGGGGTGTAGTAGAGTGATGCTACTCTGGAATAAAATTTCTTATTACGGTGGAACGCAAAGTTCTTGCTCTGATGGGGGGGAGGAATGTCCCCTTGTGCTCCAAACTAACAGGGCAGCTTTACTGAGGGTAATGGCATAAATATAATTATTTATTTATTTTAATATCTTTGAGCCAGGCTACCCTGCTTCTTTTGATTTGTTTGTATAATAATGCCTGGGCAAAATCCCTTAGGAAGATAGCTTTGGAACTTATTTCCTGGGCTGCCAAATGGCATGATGTACATCACTTTCCAGTTGTTTCAAATCCTTGGTGGCAAACAGTTACTGTCAACCTCCATTTTCATGTACAAGACACACGTCGCTTCCAAACGAATGTTATTGAACAGAACTCCACCTTATGGTAATCTGTTTGATATCCCTGTCAGTTCCTAATGAAGTCTTTCATGAGCAAAGCAGATTAATGGACTTCCTAAATTAGGAGATAATTTGTGTTTGTCTGTTGTAAAACTCAGTAACCAAAAATAATTACGTTTTCCTAAATAAGATGTCAAATTCTGTGAGGAGAGTGAATCTATATGGCTCTTCAACAGTATTCCAAAGGCTAATTTTAGCCTAATTATGCTAATTTCCCTAGGTGCCTTCTATAGTCAATGGAGAGAAAAGCTAGAGTCTCTTTGTGTTGACTCAAGAGGAGCAAAGTGTATTGGCACTGACAGCTTGTCTGTTGCCAAGGACACTGACCTACTGTGTTCTTAAAGAAATGTTGTCAGACATGGAGAAGGTTTACCATCACATTTAGCCTTTTTTTAGTTTTTTTTTTCCCTCTCCTCCTGAAGGAAATAAACAAATAAAAAAAAAACCCAACCAAACAAAACCAAAAACAAACCCAAAAAACCAAAAACAAACCCAAAAAAACAAAAACAAACCCAAAAGAGTAGAGATGATAGAGTGACTGAATAAAGTTTCATGTGCTGCTTTAGTTATTCTGGTGTACCACTTTGGAGTGGAAACTGGTATTGTCTGGAAGAGAAGAATAAATTGTATATGAAGTAAATGTCTTTAAACTGGTGAAAAGACAGGCAGACTTTGGAAAAGTTTCCATAATATTTTTAGGTTAAACTCAGTTTCAGGCCAATACAAATTTACAGTCTGCTTACAATTAAAAAGATAAGGAGTATGATTGTGGCTATAAGTAGATCTTGATTATTTTCCATGCAAAAGCTGACTTTCAAAGCTTCACTGGAATACAAAAGCAGTGATGTCTTTAAAGTAAGATTCAACTACTTGAGTTGTAGGGCTTTTTCAGCCTCACAAACAAATTTTGCTTCAGCTATGGGGACTCTTGTGATTGCTTAGAAGTCGGGTATTTCAAATGAAACAAATTGTGTACCGAATGACTCCGAGTACTCCAGAGTTTTTTCCCTGACTTCCAAATATCTGGTTGTGGATGCAGAACTTACTCTACTTGGTGCTCTATATCTTACAAGAACCCAAAAGTTTCATAAAGCTGTTTAACTTCTGAAATTCTTTTTTGAAGTTAAATTTCATTTTTTAAGTTTATTTACTTCTAAAAAGCAAATATGAAGATTACTGTTTTAGAAAAACAATTGGTTTGGTTTTATTTTTCATTTATGTATTTTTATGCCTGATCTTCAGGGTACATGTAATTAATTCCTATGACTTTTTGTATGTTGCATGTGTAAATTATGTTAGCCTATTTCCTGCAATGTTTTTTTTTAATAACATAATTGTAAATCTACTTACATAGGCAGATACTTGAAAACCAGTGAAATTCAATAGTGGATATGTTGAATTGTATTTTTTTTTAAGTAGATCAGATTTTAAATTGGCAGTGTCTATGAAGTTCAAAATGTCTTTTTCTATCATGGAAGATATTTTTATTAACCATGTGCTAGGATAGCATATGCTGGTGAGGAAACTGAAGAAATGTGTTGGGAAAAAGTGAGATTTCCTTGGCTTAAGTATTACAGAATCTGAAGGCTGATTGCAATAAGCTTTTACTTAGAAACTTATGGCAATACTAAATTTCTCTCTCTAACCATTTTACAGAATTTCACTAACCAAATATCATGTAAAACATCTCTCTCTCTCATGTACAAATAATTAAATATATTGCTTAGATCCATAGTGATTATATTACTAGGATAGAATGAATTCATTATGCTTGTTCTTCCTGTCTAGGGGAACAGCTTTAAAATCTTTTAACTTGTGGTCAGAATTTTTGGGGACAAGAGATAATTTTTTTTTTTAATATATTTTTAATTTTCTGTCATTTTTTTTAGAGAGGGTCCAGAAAATTTCTTTGGTGAGCAGCTGGTCAAAAACAATGGGGTGCATAATTTAGTAAAACTTCCATCTTAACCTATGTTGACAAAGCTCAGTTGACTACAAAACATTTTAAGCCAATTTGTAATGCTGATGGGGTGAATTCGTCTTTGTATTTTGATAGTAAAACATTGTTTTTTCATCTGAAAAATATCAGATATATGTAGAACCCAGTATTAGCACATTTTAAATTATTTACCACAAATGTTTTCTTTAGTTGGTAGGGCACTTCATTTTAGTAAGGCAGTTTCTTCTTCGGAGCAGTGAAATAATGCTACCATCAGTGACGGTGTTGGGCTTCCTGTGCATGAGAAGGTGACTGCTATTGCTAGTTGTCATCATTTGTTATTTAAAAGAAAACAAGCAGTATCCCAAGTGGAAACGTGACCAGTCAGTGCTTGATATAACAACAAGACTTTTATATTTGTTAATGTTGGCTTATAAAAGCAGTTGTTTTTTTGGCAAAATTGAAGTGCATGTGTATGTAAAAATAATATAAAATGTCAAGGCTGTGAAATTAAAGAATGTCAGAATTAATATTCCCAGTAGAGTACACATTTGTATTGCTTGTCTGCAGCATGCTAATCTGGAAGTACGTAAAGGAAGCTTATCTATATTACAAAATGCTTCTTTCATTCCATGTACCAATACCGAATTATGTGCTAGTGGTGATTTAATATACAATGAAGTATTTCATCTCTAGGACCCCTGCTCTATCTTTTTTTATAGGAGTTAAAGGTACAGAGGGACAGAATTACACAAAGCACTCTCTCTCATCCTGTAGGTTATTAAATTGTCCTCTAAATTCTATGTCGGCATCTACTAGAATTTGAGTGATGCTGGATATATTGCTTCAGGCAGTCCCTTTGGCGTCATTCAGAGTTAAGTATTGCTTCCCCCACCTCATGCTCGTGCTTTCTGGTCTTACGGTTTCATAGGCACAGTAATGTGGCCCTGTAAGCCAGCATACCATTGCTGACTTTGTTACACAGCTGCACACGTGGCGTTCAGGATAGTTTTCATCCAAGTGGCATGAAGTAAAATAGAATGTGAAGCTATCCAACTCATTCCAATAAAACTCAAAATGAGAAGTGTCAGGTGACCTTAACTATTAATAACTAAACTAGATCACCAATTTCTGTTGCTGAGAACCTTATCTTGTTATTTATTGTAATCATTTTAATACTGTGTTTGTGAAGTTTATGTATGAATCCAATGTTTGTAGCTTTTCTATTTAGAAAAGCTGAAGTGTTTGTCCTTTTTGCGTTTGTTTGGTGAAGTACATACATACATTCGTGCACTTCTCATTAACGCTGTACTGTGTAATTTGTAAGAGTCTTATGTTTATAGGATATCATGTCTTCCTATGTGATAGTTTCCTAATAATGAAATACAGTAACTTTGTCTGTGAAAGATGGTAACTATCACTATCAGCACCCCCTTTCCCCCATCTGAAACATGAGAAAATTGCAGGCTGTAGAAGACAGACTGCGGAGCTCAAATATTTAAAAAAAAAAAAATACTGCTCAGATCCAGCCTACAGTTTTTGCAGGGAGATACCTTAAATAACGTAACTCAAACCTAAATATGATACATGCCTATTGTCTGTTCTTGAATTGCTGCAAAAACCTGACCTCCTTTAAAGAAGGGTTCATTGAAAGTTCTGATTTTTTTCCTACTGTACTGGCTACATAAGAGTGATAAGACAGCATAAGTTTATATAAGAAATTATGTTCTTAGGAATTTAAGTTGAGAACTTGCATGATTTACTTACAGGACTCACACAGTCTTTCTCTCCCTGGTAATATGATCCAGCTCTCTTGACTCAGTCTGGAACAAACATCTTCTGAATAGATAATGTGTTCCTTCTTTATTTCATGATAGATTTATATGTTTTTATACTGATTGAATTTTATTGGTTTCAAAATTAATGGAAATAAGACATTACCAATGTAAGTTCCTTTTTGTAGCTTCTGTATTGTACAAATATAGAAGATGCTTGTACTGGTAAAACTTCCATAAGTTACCAGTGGGTGACTGCAAGCATTTACTATGACTGCATGACATGTGTACATCTATAAAGGCTTTGTAAGTATATCGCAGGCAAATGCCTGGACTTTCATAAGAGTTTTGTCCTTTTTTAGGTTGAATGATTTTTATGTTTGAAGTATCCTTGAAAATATCTTAGGTGCTTAGGAGTAAAATATTCTTTATTTAACAATAATAACAGCTTAAGAGCACTGCTAAGCAAGGAGGAAGAATAGACTAATGTGTACTGTAAAAACTTAAAATTTCTATAATGAAATGGAATTGTATATTTTACTGAATGACAGTGCAACTCAAAACAGTGTTATCACAGTTAGCTCTCCTGTGGCCTAAATGTTCAGTCATCTGAATGCTAATCCTGGAATACGCTTCAGAAATGCTTTATGTTTAGTGGGTGAAATTGTTTTGTTATACACATGAGAAAATAAGAAATTTTTTCCCTTTCTGGACATTTTACTGGGTGTGCCATTTTGAGAGGTATAACTTCTGGGTACTTGCTTCCCTGCTGCAAAGCTATATTGTGATGTAGGAGAAATGCCCAGAGCAAGAGTCCCTGACACTTTCTTGGCCTAAATTCGTCATTTATTCTTACAAAGCAATTTCTTGGTACAATGCCTTTGTTCTAGCAAAACAGTTATTAGAATTATATTAAGTTTTCATGTTGGAAGATCCTATCAATCAAATATTTTTGTATTTTAGATAATATTAATGTGCTAATATTAAATGCTAGATGAGTTAATATTCTCATGGCCACTCCCATATAGTTTTGTGTTCTTTAACCTTCTTGCTTCTATTCTTCTACATGCTTCTATGGAATTTTGCTGGGTGACTCAATTGTAGACTTGAACACTTCAATTCTGGAAAATACTAAGATCATATTGGTTTGTTTTGATTTTTTTTACCCCTCAACTTTTTGCTTTGTTAAATTGTAAGGACTAATTAGGTTCTTGTCTTCAAAAAACTTTAAAAAATCTATTTCTGTTTTGTAACTAACAATTCCATGAAACAAACCAGTGAGACGTAAGGCATTTAAAGCATTTTCCTATTGGGTCTATTGGGAAGGACATGATCGTTTTTAGAACTCACTATATTGAAAAAAAAGTTTGATTGCTGTTCGTGGATTGTCTTTCAAACTGTGGCAGTAGACTATACAGAATTGTTTTTTGCCTGAATGGCACTTTCTTATCACCTGACTACACAGGATATTCTCTACCGAAGGACATGTAAAATGGATTCGTATTAGACAATTTTGCTCCGTTTTCAGTAATGGCTGAGAATATAGTTTCACAAACTGTATTGTTTTCAGCTGCGCCTGTAGGTTTCAGTGGGTGAACTGGTAGTGCAGTTGAAAGGGATAAGTGTTCCAGATAAAACAGAAAAAAGACTAAAAAAAGAGTAGAAAAGTGGTGGGTTTTTTTTCTGAAATACACAGCTTTCAGTTTCAGCTTGAAAACTACCTGAAAACCTCCACAAATCAGCATGCTGTAGACTATGCTAAAGTACTTTGGGCTTTTAGCAATTGGTAAGAAGAATACTGGGGGGTGGGAAAAGGTGGAGGGGGACTTCTCTCTGCTTCAGGGCAGAATCAGCACTATGTTAAACCTTTCCTGACAACCTTTCCTTTCCCTTTTTTCTTCCCTCTGTAGTCTGTTCTTAAAACTGTCAGTGGTGGACAATCCAAAATGTCTTTAGGCAATCTGCTTGCTTTAGAAAGGAGGGTTTTTTTAATGTCTAACTTAGCTAGCCTTTGCTTCAATGTAAGCCCATTATTGCTTTTCCTGTTACCATTGGACAAAGAAAACCATTTATTTCTTTTCTTTTTTTATAGCTGTCTTCTGTGCATTGTAAGACTGATATCTTTTAGGCAGCTCTAGACTAGATAATTTAATGTCTTCTTTTAACAGGTGTTTATCTAAAGCTTTGTTCATCCCTTGAATAATTGAAGGACCATCAGTTAATCACCATCTTCCATTGTGATGCTTCAAGTAGATGCGGTACTTCATCTAAGGGCTTATTAGTGCCAATTAGATGGCAAAAATTTCCTCATAGGTGTCACGGGTAATACAGATGTATCACAATATATTGTTTTCTTTTTCATGCCAGTATACAAGGCATTGACTTTTATTGAATGTACAGTTTATTATAACCCTAAGTCTCTTTTCTGCATTCAGCTGTGTCTGGCTTGTATTTGTACAGCTGTCTTAAAACGGTATTTTGCATTTGTCATTCCTAAATTGCTTCCTTGGTTTTTCAGGTCCTATTTCCAGTTTGTCAAGAACCAGTCATCAAGTGTGCTTGCAGCTCTGGCCAGCTTAGTGTTCTTTGCAAATTTGATGAGCCTACTCTGTCTCTAGTGAAACTCAAATACTACTGTATTCCAGACAGGCCCTTTCAGAAGTTCACTCAATACATTATTGTAGTTTGATGATTTACAGCTGTTTCTATGTTTTTTCCAAACCCTGTTGCATCTATCTTATGGGGAGTGTTCTTTTGACAGTGTTTTCCTAGCTTCCTTTTGAGAATTTTGTGTATTTTTTTGTCAACAGCATCACTGAAGTTAAGATATGACAGATGCTGCTGCTTCATCTGGGTTCACAAAATCTATTTCTTTGTCATAGGAATAATTTAGGCTGGATTGATGTGATTTGTTCTTGACAAATCCATGTTGACTGTTACTTACCCCTTTGTTACTTTGTTGATGTTTGCAAATTGGAATTTTTTTTTTTTCAGAGTGTCTTTCTGTGAGTGGAATTAAAGTTGACTGGGTTATAATTCCCCGACTCCTCCTTTTTCCCTTTGTAAAGATAGACAGAATTGACAGAATGCCTCCAAGTTTATTTCCCTTGAATTCTGATAAGTCAGAATGTTGCTAGTTAACTTGCCAGTGACAGCGTACCATTTGATTGCTTGGACTGCTCTCTACAACTACCTGAAAGGAGGTTGGAGCGAGGTGGGGATCGGTCTCTTCTCCCAAGTAACAGGTGATAGGACAAGAGGAAATGACCTCAAGTTGCACCAGGGGAAGTTTAGATTGGATATTATGAAAAATTTCTTCCCTGAAAGGATTGTCAAGCATTGGAACAGGCTGCCCAGGGAAGTGGTTGAGTCCCCATCCCTGGAGGTATTTAAAAGATGGGTAGATGTAGTGCTTGGGGACATGGATTAGTGGTGGACTTGGCAGTGCTAGGTTGATGGTTGGACTCGATGATCCTAAGGGTCTTTTCCAACCTAAATGATTCTATGATTCCATGAATTGATGACACTCCTATTCAAATGTTAAATGTTTCTATATTGCATAGTATGTTGTATTTCATGCAGTTTCACCCCTTCATAATGATCTAAATGAAGATCTAGTAGAAAGTCTTTAAAAAGAAAAAGAAAGCTCTCCAATTTAACTTTTTCTTCTCTGAAGTTAAATATTTAAGTATTTGCAAATCTGGATTCTTTTCCTAATGCAATGTTTTATGTTACTTTTTAAATGAAGCTTAGTATTCATTATTTGCTTTTGGGAAATTGGTATCAAAAGCTTTCATGTATTTCATTTTCCAGTTTGTCAAATTTGCCAACATTGAGGAAGACACACCTTCATATCACAGACGCTATGACTTCTTTGTGTCTCGATTCAGTGCCATGTGTCATTCATGTGACCACGATCCAGAAATACAAACCGAGTAAGTGCCATTCTGTATGTATTACAGAAAATTGCCTTAACATGTTAATATAGTCTGTAATACAGCTTTTATTATGATATTTAGTGGAATAGTTCATTCCATAGGAAGAAAATGAAAGTCTGACTTTTTCAATAGCACCGAATATTTCAAATCTTAGGTGCCTAGAACTCCTAGAATATTTAAGTGGAATTTTACCTGTATAATGCCTGCCAGACTGCATGGATTGTCTCCAGAAAGGCGCTGCTTACTAGTGTAAATGTGTGTGAGTTGCATAACTCATTTGAGAAATTAATGGGGCTAGTTATATGAATAGCAAAAGCATCTTTTGAGTCTGCTATTTGAGAATTACTCTTTAAAATTGAATTTTCTTAGATGTCTGCAGTATGATACTGTGTGTGAAACTGAAATGCCTTCATGAATTAGTATTATCAATTTTTACATTACGTAAGCACCACAATTTTTTTTTACTTCAGCTCCCCCTAGCGATGTGTTGTTTATATGAATTGTTAATCAGTATTTAACTCCTGAGCATTTTAGAAAACTTAAAGCTTTTCAGATGATATGATTTGCATCTCTGTTGTACTCATCTTTTCTATTTCCATGCATTAAATTGTTCAGCCAACTATGAAAAATCAATGTGCTGAACATTTATTCAACCCTTTGGGTGTACTGTTGTTCTGTTGGCCGCCATGCATAAGGATTTTTCTTAAAGTTTGCAGTTTCAAAAATCTGAACTGTATTTTCAAAAAGAAGGAATACTGTGTACTTCGGGGGAAAAAAACAAAACAAAACAAAAAATTCACTCCTGCTTTAGGCTTCTGCTTCATTCCTCCCTATTTTTTGTAATTTACTGCCATCTTATTTGTTGCCCTAGTGCTGTCCGTAGGGTTCTGCTGTTAACTTTGTCTCTAAAAGGGTTAGGATTAAATTTGCCTGCTTCTCCTGTACCTTTCCCCCTGCCCGCACTCCCTTTCCCTTTAGGAAGATTATTCCAGTGAGCGGTTTTACAGGATGACCCCTGAATTGTTTGGGGAGGAACTGAAGGTAAATTGTACTCAGGGACCAAAGGGGAAAGGGGATGGAAACTTGTTAAGCAGGCGTCTCAAGTGAAGCCAGTGTATCGTGCAACCACCTGGTAACTTCTGTCAGGCTTCTGTCAGGTACAGTATATTTACTTGGAGCTGGTGGTCACAAATAGTATTCACAAATGTTTTAATGAGCTTTTTGAGATTTTGCCTTTTTAGGCTTACTGAAACTAAAACAGAAATGTTAAACTATGTACTTATTGTAAAACATTTTATAAGAGGTTAGGATATGAAGCTCAGCTCAGAATTTTTAATACTACTTTCACCTTCATTGCCCCTTGCAAATGAGAGGTAATATTAGTAATGAACTAGAATGTGGAATGAATTAAGAGACTAGTACATCCCTGATTCATCTATCAAGTATGATGTACCACTCATAAGGATACCCCAAAGTAAAATAGCTCAAAGCTCTGATTGCTGTAGGAGTGATAAGAGAACTCTGCTAATCTTTTGCTCTTCAAATTGTCAGCCTGCACTGTTACCTGTACTTCAGTTAGCAGTGTTGATGTACCCTTCGACAGGGAGGAATCCTAGTAACATAAGACTGTACGTGACTTTGATTTAAATCTAATCTGCTCTTTAATACCTATCTGAGCCTTCCTTAGAGGCATGAAACCTTTCCTGTATGTGGTGAAATTTGATGCTGCACCTTCCTCTGTACTTCAACCCTAATTTTTCATCCTCCTGTACAATAGTAAGAACGTGAAATTAGTGCTAGTGGCACTCCAATACACAAAAGTGTGGCTTTTTTCCCGCCTGTGAATTAATTCTTTCACTCAGGTTCATGAAATGTATAGCAATATGACTTTTTCCACGTCATCCTAGACAGTTTGAATGCATCTCTCTTGAAAGAGATCTTTATGAACAGCAGTCATTCTTGGCGTTGTCATACCAGACTTGCTGTAAATACTGAGGTAATTCAACAAAACAGATGAGCTATGACTACCGATTACAATTCTAAATACAGGTATCAAAAGTAGTCAATACCATTGATGGGGGCTAGGGAGTAATTCAGCTCATCCAAAACCAGACATCTGGAGCCGCTGTTCACCTGCATAGCTTGCGGTTCCACTGAACTGACTGGCTTGAATGGGAGCTTGAACATCATCTACACACGTAGTCAGGTAATGTAGGCTTCTGAGGCTGAAACTGAATCTCACCTGGCAAATGAGATTTCCCTTTCAGCAGGGGAGCTTAGTGCTAATATTTACTGTATCTAAAGCCACAGTATCAGCAAAACTTGATTACATTAAGAACGAATAATTAAAAAGAAAAAAAAAGTTTCAGTGATGGAATTTTGGAAGCTCTGTGTCTTAAATGTTAATCTTAGATCCTTAATATTGAAAACTTCATATTGGATACTGCACTGTAGTTTTAGTACAGCAATAGTAAGTGCTTTCTAGCTGTTTGTGCATCCCTCTTCTTCCCTGTTTTGTACGTAACCCTATTAAGACTGTCTTGAAAGGTCTAGAATGGTATCAGATCCATATTGAATGCACATGGCTTTGCTTAGAAATAGCTGAAAAACAGGGGGCTACAGATTTAAGTGTTTAGAAATGGAAATCTAAACAAGTTGGCTGTTGCCACTTCAAAAAAGAATATTTTGCTATTCATTTCATTGTACAGATTCTCCTGCAAACTATTTTGGTCAACAAAACAAAATAGCTAACAGCTAGACTAAGTCTGGTTTGGAACTTATATTAATTTTTCCTTTTTATTGTTTCATTGTTGTTGTTGATTGGTTCTCAGTTAATTTGGTTCAGCCGGTTTTAGGATAAAACTGGTGGTTCCTTTTGTGCATCAGGCTTAAGTTGATAGAATTATCCTTTGCTTTCCATCTCGTGAATCTTGCACAAATCTTTAAAGATCTGTTATGATTAATCCAGTCTTAATTACAACTTTTAAGGGCCTGTTCACATGGCTCTGGTAGCTGTTGCTTCAACTTTGGTGTGGTAACTTCACAATATTTTTCTTCAGCACTGGAACAGGTTGAGATTGTGCACAGTTTCAACTGATTGGTAGCAAATTGCGTAGAGTTGGTGGGTTTTTACCCATGTGACTTTCTTTTGGAGGTGGTATACACGTTTGAGTGTTCATTGATCAGTGTCAGCATTATCCTTACAGATCATCTTCTGTTCAGTTGTTTGTTTTGTCAACTTCCTGATGAGCTATAAAAGTGTTTAAAGGCAATATGGGCAACCTTAATGAATTGGCTAAATTTCCAAATTACTGCTTTTGAGAACCTAATGGAATTAGGTAAACAGCCATACTGGGAGGTGCTGTGTTTCTCCTTTTGGTAATTACTTTTTTCCTTCCTTAGGATCCGAATTGCTGGAATCAGGGGCATTCAGGGAGTGGTTCGAAAAACAGTTAATGATGAACTTCGAGCAACTATATGGGAACCTCAGCACATGGACAAGATAGTACCATCATTGCTGTTTAATATGCAGAAAATAGAAGACATTGACAGGTATTTTTATTCCTGGTCACTGGCATGTTTTTTTAAGCAATCTTTAGGCTTAGTTTTTATTATAGATACCTTTTTCTTTTCTTTTTTTAGTGGAAATAACTACTGACGTTTACTAGCAGAGTCTCCTTGAAACTGATAGCACAGCTCTGCTTAACTGCTCTTAATGTTTCTTGTCTTAAAGTCTTTTCAACCGCCTTCGTTACACTTGGTCTAGATTCTGTTGGCCTAAGAATTGCTCCACAAATTGTATAACCCTGTTTAGACTTCTTAAAAATTGTAAACTCTGTGTTTTGTAATGTCAGATACAGAGATTAGTAAGCACAGGCTTTTAGGTGACTCAAATGATTTTGCTAGTTATATTTGTTAAAAATTGAGGGTTTAATTCCCATTTAGCCATTAGTAACAACTGTCTGTCCTGTCTGCAACAGTGCTTAAATTGAGGATTTAAAATTTATTTATACCTAGACACTCTTCTCATTTGTTGAAATTTCTAGGATTGTTGTTGCTACTACTTTTTTTTTTTTTCTTTTTTAACCTGAAGAACTGGAGACAATGTCTTTTATCAGTCAGGTTGACTCTGTATTTTCAAAACTTCATTACAGCTGACTGCCTCCTTGGGATTCTTAGTTCCTTCCAGGCCATCCCACCACCTTTTCAGGCTGCACTCCTTGAAGTCTCTTGCATGACTGTTTTTTTTTTTTTTTTTTTTTTTTTTTTTTTTTTTTTTTGTCCCCTCTTCTCTCTTTTTTTTTTTTTTTTTTTCTTCTTTCAATGACTCCTAGGCATGTTACCTGCCAGATATGCCTTCAGAAAAGATCTGTGTGGTAATTGATGTTGAGCATATGCCAGTCACCTTACAATAGAAATGTCACTTCTTTTGGTCCATGTCTATATTTGTGGCTAAACACTGTGTAGGTGTAAAAAGTGTTTATTGCTAGCACTGGGAAATTTCTATAAAACCAACTTCAGCTGTGCAAACAAGCTTAAATGTTTGTCCAACCCTAGCTGCTTCAAAACTTGCTTGGTAAGTAGGCTCAGCAGCCTTCCTATAACAACACGCTTTTCATGCTTTCACATGACCCTCAGCTTGCTAAATCTGTCAGGTTTCTCTTTTTGGTGTGTTGGGATTTGGTGGTGGTTTTTTTCCATTCCTTAGCCTTATTTTTCTTCTTGTATTTCTAACTGCCAGTACCTGTCTCTTCTCTGAAGCAAATTTTCAGACTAAATGACTGAAATCAATAGTTGTCTATCTGTCCATGCTTTATCTATTTACTGCGTAAAACTGAGGGCCCATACAGTACGTACAGAAATATCCACTTGGATTTTACATCTGAAGAGTGATCTGAATAAGAAACAAAGGTTTCTGAAACTGCTGTTTGAACAAGGAGAGCCTAGTTAGCCTTTGCTCGCTCTTACAGGGCTTCTAGATGCAGGTGGGCCCTTTCCTTTTTTACTCTTCGCAGTGCCCTCAAGCGTCCGCTTTCCTTTATATGGTAAAATTAAACTAACTACTGGTGGAAAAACTGACTGAAATAGGATTTGGATCAACCACATAAAGCAGATCAGTTTATATGTATTGCAGGACTAATTTTTATCATTTGTTGAGCAATGCAGTACTGGTGGTAGAAAAACAAATCTGTCAAAAAGTAACTGTTAATGAAATATCTGAACTGGCTGCTTGAAACTTTTTCTATAATACACATTCAACAGAAAAAAAGACTGAAGATTTTCCAAGTGGCAAGCAGGGGCCTTGTATGATCCGCATATGACAGAAAAGCTGAAAACAATATTTATAAATTGTTGATCTGCTGGCCTTAAGTGATGTTACAGAGAATTTCTCATCTTGTTTTTATATGTGACTTCATATTTGTGGAGCACAAACAGAGGCCTCTTGAAGAGTAGGAGTAAGAAGCATATTGTTCTGGCAGATGGAATCAAAGCATTATTTGGGAAAGAGCAGAAATTCCAGAAAATACCCCCAATTAAGTCCACAGAAAATAACCATTTTTAGTTAAAGCTGAAGTACACAAAGGTAAAGCTTACTTTAAAGATCGGTGTAATTTTTACTTGTGGAACCTTAACAGCTTAATTCAAGATTCTTCTGAGTACATGTCAGATGAGACACCTTTTGGAGTCAATAATTTAATATTTAGACAACATTTTAAAAAGACAGTTGTATTTGTAGATGTCATTATTTGTCTGTATATCTGAATGCGCATTCTAGTTATGTGACTATCAGAAAAATTTGCAAGTGTAATATTCTAAAACTCAGATTGGGTTTTTTATTAATCGTACTTCACTGCAATCGTGTATTACAAAATAATTGCCATGCATACTTCAGTATAGTATAAGGCATTGCCTGAAAGACTCTCCCTCCCTCCTTCAAGTTTTCTAGAAGAAAATTCAGAAGAGTCAATCACGTATGTCAATTTATGTGCATCTCTCAAATGGGGAAGGGATGTATGAAATTGGAAATTCACTTAGTTTGTAACATATTCTTCATGATAACTGCAAAGCTAAACATGCCAGCTTTATTTAAGGCAGAAGGACACTGTAGGACTTGTTGTAGACTTGACTTCAAATCCTTGCAATATATCTACAGTCTTGATATAAATTCTGTTTTAGAGGTAGATTAGAATGTATTTCTTTTTCACGGTGAGTGAATCATAGTCAAACATTCCTGTAGCTACTCTGCTCAAAAGTAATGGTTAAGTCTTACTTCACACATCCCATCATATTAAAGAAGTCTCATGCATGAGATGCTGAGTTGCTCTGAGCCAGTTTAAGCCTGTGATTAGATGTTTGCTATGGAAACTGCTGTACTTCAAAATGTCCCTCCTTCCAGTTCCTTGTTGCCACCTTTTCTGATAGAGATTACCCACGAGAAAGCTACCAGCTGGTTAGAGGGACAGTTAGAGGGAGTCATTCTTGCCCATTTCATTGCAAACCGCATTTCATGCTTCACTCCTCTGGACCTGTGGTAGTACAGAAAGGCAGGATGCAGAGGAATAGTAGTAATATTTTTTTGAAGTGTTGCAGTTGGATTTGTCAGAGGTTTTCTGATCTTTGTTTAAAAATCAAGTCAGTGAGACAAAATTAGCACAAGTTATTCATTTGAATTTAGAAACTTGAGAGGCTGTGCAAAGCTTTCCTTTAAAACTAAAAAGTTAAAAGGGTAGTTTTATATGCATTGTCTTTCATCTGAAAATGCTGAGGAACACTTAGTGAGAAGTACTTGGAGGTAGGTGCTGTTAAAGTTCAAAATAAAAGTGTGATTCCGACAGACAATGGGAGGTAACTGAACATTCTGACGCAGTCTAACGTTTTAGACTAGGAAGACTGGATTGCAATTTCTTCCTTTAACCTATTCTAAAATAAGACTCCAACCAATGCTGAGAAGTCACTTTCTGTAAGATTGCGTGCACAAACACTTAAAAGATAACTTATTTTTACTGCATTTTAACTAGAATTCTTCCAGATAGACTAGCTCTGTGTGTTCTGCAGCCTGCTTGCTTTCCCCCCACACCCCCACCTTTGTAATGCTGCTGCCTTCTAGGGAATCTGTGTCACAGCAGCGATAGGAATGACAGTCCTGCACTGTGGTTTGTACCTTCTCTGTACTGAGAAGGATGCCCATCTGTCTGGATCAGAGTCTAGGCAGTACAGGAAAAAAAAATAGGGAGATTGAGGGGCACAGCAGTTGGATAAAGCTGCAGTTTAGTGGTACTGATGGTGGATTATATACAAATTGTCATGCCTTTTAAAATTCTAATCATTATGCATTTGTATAACTGTTTCTCCTTACTTATCTAGCAGGGTGCCTGGGGCTTTTTTATTACTGAAATCTGACAAGCTAGCAATGTTATGGTGACTTCTGAAACACTTATGTTACCAGAGGCAACAACATTTTTACATTGCAACTTTTAGATTTCTAGTGTTTCAAGACTACTGCAGATCTTTTGCTGTCAGAAGATATTACAACTATGATGTTAATGTGTTCATTTGACTAGTGGCATTTCAGTATTCAACTTTTTATAATGCTGTAAAGCTATGGTTTTATGATGCTGAAGAGTGAACATTAACTAAAGCTGATGCTCTTAGTGAATGCTTTAAAAGTTATTTAATGCACAAGCTTGCACTGCAGAACTGAAAGAATGTTTAAGGTTTTAGTGTACTGATTTCTGCAGTCTAAAATAAATCTCCTAATGAATAGATGCATAATATTAATGTAGGTGAATGAATCCTCACTTAAGTTTCTGTAGTGTGTTTTGTGCGAAAAAGTACTTGCCACCTGTAGGTACAGTACTTCTTGCTAAGTAATATAAGTACCTTAGAGGGAACTGCTTGCTTGCTTTCTTCCTCAATCTCCCACCTCTCAACTGCTCAATTTAAATAAAATATTAGTAACAGCTTAATGGTATGATGTGTGAAGCACTTAAATTCAGAAATACGTTTCAAATGCCTTTAATTTGCTCTAGTAATTCAGGTCTCTGTGTATTGAAAAGGAGGTGACTTTGGGCAAAGGAGAGAAAAAGGGAAAAAAAAAAAACACACAAAAAAATCCCCCAAAATGAACCAAAGAACATTACCAAGGCCTGCATCAAAAATGAGAAGTAGGAAACTAGAAGCTCTTCTGGAAAGGCTGTACCCTTCACTGTTTACAGTGTAGGTGCTGATTTTAGTTATTCCAAGGTGAGGACAGGCTATTCCCTTCAAAACTCAGTGGCAGAATTTGGGCCTCGGTAGGTTTTAGTTTGTTCAAAATAGTGTGGGTTTTCTGTAGTTTTGCTTCTCCTGTGTCTGCATTCAGTCTTTAAGTCAGTACTCTTACTCTCTTTTTGTACCATGTTGATTTTAAATAGCCAGCCTAATTGCCAGTCACAGAGAGAAAAGAAATAATTGAAAATGGTAGTGAACCACAGCTGGGACCGGCCATGTCTGGCCTCTCCTCACAGAGGCCCCCTGCAGCCCCCGTGCTACCAACACCTGGGCATGGACGCCCCGTACAATCCTCTCCATAGTAATGTTGGGAGACAGTCAGTTAGAAGGTGACTAACTTGCACGCTATCTAGTTAGAGGTAACTATGTGGGTGATAATGTTCTAATTAGTTCAATCAGACTTTTTTCAACTCACAAGCCATCTGTTTCTGCAGAAGTATTGGAGTTTTGTTTAACACTCACCCAACACAGTGTGGATTCAGTAGTGGGCAGGTGAATGAGATCATTAGTCTGAACAAAATGACTAAGATTCTGTGTAACTTTTTGCATGGTTTTATAGCCTTCATTCATTGTTAGCAATGGGTAATAGTTTTTCAAAACGCAGTGGGTAACAAGTTAAGTATTAACAGCCATTGGTTTTGCCATATAAACAGTTACTAATGCAGTGGTCAGTACTGAGTGAACAGATGACGATCTATAGTCCTGCTATAAGGGAATAAAATGTTTTATGCAGAACTCCGGTTTGATGCGTATTTGAGATACAGTTCTTGCCTAGATCAAGTGCGTGACTCATGAACGTTGTAGAACCAAGGGTGGGTATGGTAAGGAAGATTAATATTAATCAGTAGTAAAATCAATGTATTTTTATCTTATTTCAGCAGAATAGGCCCTCCATCCTCTCCTACAGGAGGAGAGAAAGAAGAGAATCCTGCTCTGCTGGCCGAGAATTGTTTCAGGGAACTACTAGGACGAGCAACCTATGGAAATATGAATAATGCTGTCAGACCAGTTTTTGCGTAAGTTGAAAATTCATGGAAGGTCTTACCTTAAGAGATTTTTATTTTTTTTATTTCCTTCTCTAATTATGTTGCATTAAATTCCCTCCTCCTTTTCAGCCCAAAGGATTCCATTCATGTTTCTTCAAAAAATTGCCCCTCTTTTAATCTCTCCTCTTTGTTGCCTATCTGTTAACTCGAAGATAGTTGTGGAGAAATGTGTGTCCCATTTTACTGATTTTAGAAGTGCCATATAATGGTTTGGATGGGTTGTTGCCTCAGCTGGCCTTTCTTTTGAATGTGAAACTGTTTATTCAAGGTGTTAATAGATGACTGTTGCAGTCAGTGAAGATACAAGCCAAGTAAAATACAAGTATCATAAAGGAATACTGTGCCCAGATTAATACATAAAGTTAAGATTTCTACTTCCTTGCAGTTTTCTTCTAAGACCTGTTTTGATGTTCTGTGAGGAATATCTTTCACAGCTCATTTAGTAGTAAATGGCAGATGTGCACACAGTGTGCATATTATGCACAAATGCACACAGTACAAATTATAGCTGATGTATTAACTGTAAGTCCAGTGTTTTTGAGTTCTCTGCATTGCACCAGTTGCTTCCTTAGAAAATACGATGTGGAAAAAGCTACAAGCATTGAGATAACTTAAATCTGCTTCTTTCACCTCTGCTAGTGTCTATGAGGTAGGCATATTCTCAGGAGAAATCTTTGCAGGAAGCTCTAGACTCGGTGATACTATTTTCAAACCCTGATTTTTCCTGGTGATGAGGAGAGCTGCTTGCTCCTTGTTGTAGATTTTCAAAATAGCCACCTGTTATAGGAATATCTTCTTAGATGGCCTAGTTCTTCCCACAAAGACTTAAGTGTTCCATACCTACACTGAAAGGCTTTCAAGTTACCGAAAGCCATTTTCAAGTTACTACTGTTAAGTAAGAACAGAAATGCAAAAAGAAGATAGGGTGGATATTGAGGGCAGAAAACTTTTGTAGCCCCTTGTTTTTCACCCAAAAGCATTGAATGCAAAGAACTGTGCTATTATCTTACTTTTCATGTGTACCTATTATACCAATCTGATGGGTGTTTAACTGTTACAAAGTTGAGTGTTTTATTAAAAAATAATCCTTTCCTACATTTAAAATTTGCATTCCTCCAAAAAACCTAGATGTTCACTAGAGTGAACATTTAGGTACTAAACAGTCTGGATGGACTTTTGGGAACTATATTGTAGCTGCTTTCTTACCACTTTTAAGTTCCTTTTATGGGTTTATCTCAAAACTTTATCAGCCTGTACAGTTACTTCAGTCTTTTGAATCATTTCAGTATCAGGGAAGTTTCCCACAAGTAATTCCTGATTCCCTAGACTAGAGTTAGTGCTTGGTTGGGGATTTGAGAAGGTGTCATACCTGCATTTCCTGTGGCAGATCCAAAGCTTTATGTATTCAAAATGTTATTTCCAGCTGAATTTCTCTTCTTACTCGCTATTATCCTAAGGAACTGCTTGAGTCTTTTTGCACCTCTACGTGCCACATGCTGCATTTGTGCATTGAAATCGGTAGATAATGACCAGTTACTCAGATTATATTATCTCTTCTATGAATAGAGAGTCTTGTGGTCACTATTTTTGTGTTCCATTTTGAGGAAGAATTGCCAAATAAATTTATCTTTTTATAAATAACTGCTGTATAAACGTTTGGTATTTTTGAAGAACAAGAAATGCAGAACATGCAATTTCCAGGCTGTGTTTCCTAAACAAAAACGGAGTGCTCTATCTGATCAGATTCACTTTGTGAATGAACAGAGATGGCAGAATGAAAGTCTGCGACAGTGAGTCCACTGCACTTTTTCCGATTGAAAAACCTCGCTTAGTTTATGTATACTTGATTAGAAAACAGTTTCTCCTAACAGTTTTCAACAATTTCACAGCTTTTAAGAAAGCTCTGGAAATAAAGACAAGGCCACTTACTGCAGTGCTAACACTGAAGACGCAGGTTCCGTTCCCCACTTGAAAGCTTGCTTCACGTGGCATTGGAATGTCAGTCAACGTGCTATCACTTCCTTGCAAAACTGAGAGAATAGTGCTTCTTGTATCATGAGGCTGAGTACATTCAGTGATTGCGGGATTTAAATATAATGAAGATAGCTGAAATCTGAAGTTAGTCTCCTGGTCTGGGTTTGGATTGACCTTAATTCTCCTTGCCTTTGGCAGAAAATCTCCATGGTTATACGTGTCTACATGTAGTAGCTAGAAACTCTCAAATTCTCATTTTTAATGAAATCTGACAGATCAATCTGGCAAACTGCTTAATGAAAGTAAAAAAATTTATATTAATACAGTATGAAAAAAATTTGTGTCAACAGTCACAAGCTATTTAGACTGACTTAGCATGAATTTGCAACAGTGAATAGATTAGGCAGATCCAGAGGGATACAGAAATCTAGTGAATATGAACAACTTCCCAAGTATAACAAGTTACACCCAATTCATCTCACTGTATTTCCATTCTTGTGAGTTATCACATCATCTGTGCAAGGGTTTTGAATATGAAAAGACTGGTGTTTAATATTTTTTCAGCAAACATGATGCATGAGAAGATTATATTTTATATTCCCATACATGCCTCAGTTCTGCTTCCTAAGCATCAATATCAATTTATCATTTTGGACTGTAAGGATTGCTTGCATGTGTGACAATGTGAGTGAATTCAGAGACCGTTAGTGGCTCTCATTCCAAAAAGTAGTAATTTGCACCACTGGTTCTGCTGTTCCTTTTAATTTGAGAAGCCTAATTGTGCACATTTGCTACGTGTATGCAGCAGATCTTAATGGAAGGCAGAGTCTGGCATTTGTTAATCCAGCAATAAAATGTTTTGCAATCATCCTTAGATATTTTTTATTAAAAGAAATGTAATTGGAAGGAAAACATAGGCAAGATATGACTTGATTTTAACTAAACGCACCATGCTGAAAATACTGTTTATCATCTTTTACAAAAACAAAACTACCTTGAATACATTGCCTGCATTATGGCAAGTAAAATATATCACCTACAGTAATCTAATACTCCTTTTTTTTGGAGGAAAATTCCAGTATACAAAGCATGCTGCCCATTGAGCTATTACACAAAACATTAACCTAGGCTGTCATCTTCCCCCTGCTGTCTTCCCATCAGTTCAGCTACCTGAAGCAGCTAATACTTTGCCTTTCTGGAAAAAGAAAACTGTGTGTCTTGTTTTGAGAGGAAAGGTTTTAAAAAAAAAAAAACTTGATCAAGATGTAGTTGACCATAATCTGCCTGAATGGATCTTTGGGGCAGATAAAGAGAAACTGTCAAGGGTAACAGAGAACGCATGCTACCCTGAAAGATTAAAGGATCAGTTCCAATCAGGAGAAGATAGTGGAGAGTATGATTTTGTATTTGATGAGACAAAAAGAAAATAGGTTAGCTAAAATAAGCTATCATGTACAAGAAATGATGGACTGTGCTGGAATGATATTAGGGAGGAAGACAACATGAAAAAATATATTATGAGCTGCTAAGCCTTGAAGGATTTAAAGAGGTAATTTTGTTTGTCTTTCTACCCCAAGGCAGGATTAAATATACCTGCGTGTTTGGAATGTGCACAAAAAAGGCAGCTATCCCCAACAGGTAGTCTGGTTTAATATTTGGTAATGCAAATATGCTGTTATCTTGGCAGACAAACACCTTTAAAATTCCTGAAATTCTTTCCTGTAGGGATTTCCATTAAAGGTATGTAATGTGTCAAAATGGCACTATGGTTTTTTTTAAGCTCTGTAATGGACGGCAAGGTAATTTAGGGCACAGGAGAGGGCAGCTTTATTATGCCAGCTGGTTTAATCAACCTTGAAGGAGACCTGTGCACTCAGCTAGGTCAGTGGGCTGGTAGCAGCTGGCCAGTGAGCTAATTGAGACCTCCAGATTCTAGGGAAAGTAAGTTAAATAATCCAGTCAGTCCTTCTGTGTTCAGAGTACTGGCTGCTTTCACATGTATGCTTTCAAATTTGTTATTTGAAGCATCTTTATATGTTTACTATGTTCTTTGAGAAAGGGCAGAACAGTAGTGATTCTGTAGCTGAGGTACCTATTTAGAAACACTATCTAAATTCAGTTTCTGTAAGAAGTTTTTTGTGGGTTTTGGTTTTTTGTGTGGTTTAGGTTTTTTTTTTTTCCCCTCAGATCATTCCAATTAAAAGGCATCCCAAATTACTTGTATCAATCTTTTGGATTTAAAAATGCATTTATTTTTGTCATGCTTTTCCAGGTATTCAGATCTCCCGTTTGGAAAATTTGATGTGTTCCCTGTTCATAGCTTTCAGCATAGTGCTTAAGCAGAATTCCTTGTCTTTGCTTGAAGCTGACAGTTTTGGTTCCCATCCCATTTAAAGAGAAACTGATGCATTTATCGTTCTGATTCTGTTTTGATATTTCTTGCAGATATTGTTGAAATGTTTCAGAGTGATAAAGGAGTATATACACAAAGAGCAGCTCTTTTTTATTTTCCATATATATTATTCATAAACCACTGTGAAAATGAAAATAGCTATTAGAGTCTCTATTCTGGGTGTAACATTCAGCCATAATTATTTCGTAGCTCCTGATTTAAAAAAAAAATCTTTATCTTATTTAGAGTAGAAGTTTGTCAAGGTATTAGAACCATCCTCTTCGGTGTGTCTGTCATGTAAATACGCATGTAATGTCACAGCCAGTTTTATGCGTGCACTTTGTATGGAAACAGTATATTCTTAATTGTATATCTTTGGTATGACTAGGTTTCTTAAATTCCAGAAACTAGAAAATCAGGAACTTCTGTTACAGCCAAATGTTTTGTGATCACATCCTAAACCTTGAAAACAAATGCTTTTCTGAAGTTCTAGTTTTCTCACTTAGTTAGTAAGTCATTGTTTAGAAGCTTTATGTAAGAAAATAATCCCTTTGAGGTGAATTTTGAGAAAACTGTAAGATGCCGTTTATTATATCTGTGGAATGTCATTATTTCATGTCCCTTAATTTTTGGTTACAGGCATTTAGACCATCACAGACTATGGGATCCCAATGAATTTGCTGTTTCCTGCTTCAAAATCATCATGTATTCTATACAGGTAGGATTTCTTCATGATTTGTTTTCCTTGCATACATATTTCAAGAACAGGAGGCAGGGTTAAATGCTCACCTCACCATGATAATGATAGACAGTAGATGAAGTCAAAGAATCCAGAAGATCCCTTTCCATAACTCCTTAGCCTTATTCTTTAAACTTTTCAAATAATAACCTAATTGTGGTTTATGATCAGAGGTTATCTGATTTACTTTCAATTAATGTGCACTTGCAGAAGAAAAAAAGCTATTAAGGGATTCTTGATGGAAGGTGGTGTGGAGATCCCTGAGCAAGCTCCAGAACAACGAGCAGGATAGCCATACTGATTTGACATTGTGCTTGATAAGAGATTTGTTTCAGTTGGTCCTATCTCTGTGCCAATATGGCCATACTGCTTTTACAACCCAAGAAACCAACTTCACATGGAACTGTGTTGTGCTAATTGACTTTTACTAGTGGGCAGCCTCTATTGTCTGTTGTAAACGTGATCAAAGTCTGATTCTTGGATGTGTCAAGGACCAACACCCAAAAGATAAAGTCATAAAATTCCAGGATTGTGAAAGAAAGCTGAGTTTTCTCAGTGTTTTTATCAATGACTTTTTTGTAAGACCAGCTGAAGTCCTTGAACTCCAGTTAGCTGAATGAAGTACCACCTCACGCTTCCTCTATTCTTGTGTTCCTGGATATTTTAATACTATAAGCTTTTGTTATACTGTGCTGGCTGGGCCTGTGTGGCTTCATCTGTCATGGCAGGTTTTTTAATCCATATTTAATCATGAATTGATTGAAATTTAGATAAATTTGTAAGAACGTTGCAGAATGGAAACAGGGTCATGACTATAGCTGAATGGTGTAGGAGTTTATTGTTATTAAAGTCACAGATGAAGCTTTTTTTCTATTTGCCTGGTTTTTAATAGGCACAATATTCCCATCACGTAATACAAGAAATTCTTGGACACCTTGATGTTCGCAAAAGGGACTCCCCACGAGTTCGTGCTGGCATTATTCAGGTTCTTTTGGAAGCAGTTGCAATAGCAGCTAAAGGATCAATAGGTAAGTCTTCTTAAATTAACGCCATCAGGTAAAAGGATGGATTTGAAGGGTGGTGCTCATTTTTGCTTTGTTCTCAGACTGAATGAAAGCATATATTTTGAGGAAGTTTTGTATTAATTTTTTCTTCTTTGTGCTGATAAAATGCTTGAAATCTTACTCAGTTTACAATTACTTATACAGACTTGGTTCTTTTATAGCCTTTTGCATTGAAAAAAATGAGTAGATGTATTCTGACAGCCTTATGAACGGCAAGAATTTCTGCTTGGTAAGAAGTCGCAAAGTCTGAAAGAACTGTGTGTGACTACAAAAAGTCAAGAGGACTGTTCCTTTGTGATACAGCTGCTGTGAGATGAGCAGTAATACAGGAGTCAAGAGTAGAATGATCTTTGAGAAATTTTACCTTAGTAGCTGTGAAGCAGCTGAAATAAGGTGAATTATGTCATTTAAGGTAGCGTAGTTCCTTGAAATAAGAGTACTTACGAAGCTTTGTACACACACGTCCTCTGCTGTTCTTTTCCTTTGGTCTCCTACTGAAACATTATTGCTTTGCTTCATTGGCTTGAGTCTGAGCCTGTACTTTCTCTTTATACAAGACCCACTTGCATGCACAGACTTGTGAAGACTTTTACCATATCATGAAAAGAGCTCGTTATTTGATCCAATATATAGAACTGGATTTTAGTAGCAGGTTTTAAAATAACTGAAATTCAGGTGCAAGTCCCTGAAGTTTAACCTATTGTTGATGCTTAATTTCAGCAACCACTCATATTTTCTATGTAAAATTTGCATGGTGGGTTAACTCTGGCCAACAGCCATTTGCTCACTCCCTTTCCCCACAGGACAGGCAGAAGGTAGAAAGAAGGTGAGAATTCTCATGGATCAAGATAAAGACAATTTAATAGGTGAAGCAAAAGCTGCATGCACAAAGAAAGCAAAGGAATTTATTCAGTACTTCCCACTGACAGGCAGATGTTTAGCCACTTTCTGGAAAGCAGGGCTTCAGCATGCATAACCATTTCTTGGGAAGACAAATGCCATACAAACAAATGTCCCCCCGCTTTCTTCCTCCTTTTCTTGAGATTTATTGCTGAGCATAACATTATATGGTATGGAATAGCCCTTTGGTCAGTTTGGGTCAGCTGTCCTGGTCTGTGTCTCCTCCCACTTTCTTGCACACCCCAGCCTGTTCTCTGTAGGGACAGAGTGGGAAAAATAAAAAGCCTTGACACTTGCTAGCACTGTTCAGCAACAGCCAAAACACTGGTATGTTGTCAACACTGGTTTAGTCACAAATCCAAAGCACAGCACCTCCCAGGCTGCTAAGAAGAAAGTTAACTCCATCCCAGCCAGACCTCATATGACTTGTTAGTAATGGATTACACATATATACCTGACTGCATTTCCTGATTCCAAAATAATTTAAAATATCAGAGTGTAGGCACATTTCAAAAGTTTATCCCTAGGCCGTATCCTTCAAATAGTGTAGTTCACTTGTTCTTTTCAGCTTAATCTGATTTCTCCTGAAAAGGGATTGAAAAGGTTAGTTTTCATTTTATTAAGGCATCTTTCCCTTGACAGGTGCAATCATTGTTATGTTTTTTTCCAGGCCCAACGGTTCTGGAGGTTTTTAATACCTTGTTGAAGCACTTGCGCATCAGTGTTGACTTTGAGCTGGGTGATAGGCGCAGTTCAGCGGGGAGTGCCACTTTCAGCACAAGCTCCAAGGAGAGTGATGAGAGGATTGTCCAGAATGCAATTATTCAAACAATTGGTGAGTAATGACAGTAACATAGGCCCACTTAAAATTTCTCCCCTTCTCCCCCTTCCTCAATGAGATGGTATTAAAACAGCTTGAGTCAAAAAGGAATAATGGCAAGTGTGGTATCTCTGATCATACTTGCTCCTAAATCTTAGGCTCACTTTACAGATTTGACTTCTGGAAGACTGTTCTTTTAATTGTTAACTGAGCAGATAGTCAAGAAGTTCAATTAAAATTAAAAATGCTGGTGGACTTACAATAAATTTGTTGGTTATATTATTATATGGCCATTCAAATATAGACATCATTCTCTACCTTTGGTACGGAACTAATATTAATCCTTTTATGAAAATCATATTACAAGCAATCATATACAGTAATACATTTTAGTAGGTACTACTTGAAAATTTGTAGAAGCCAATGTTAAACACAGCAGCAACAATGACACCTAATGGCCGGTTGTGCTACCATGACTTAACTGAAGTACTTTTAAGCACGATACTGAAAAGAGCAACAATTTCTGTAAATTATTTCATTAAAATAGCCTCTCCCCTTTTTTCAGATTTTCTCTTTATGGTAGTGATATGTGTTGCAGTGCATTTATGATGTGTATTCCTTTACTTAAAGAATGAGGGAGAATGTAACTTAAATCTTGTTCACTAATCTGTGCCTTTGCTTATGCCTTGAAGCTTTCTAGAGCAGTAGCAAATATGTAGGAGATTATTTCTCACCATTACAGTAAAACTCCAAGTTAAAATGTTAAACACCCCCGCCCCCCAAATCCCCAAAACCCCACAATCCAACCTTTTAAAGTAAAGCTTCTTTCTATCAAAGTTACATTTATACTGTTGCACAGCAATAGAATAGAATAGAATATCTCAAGTTGGAAGGGACCCATAAGGATCATTGAGTCCAACTCCGTGCTTCTCGCAGGACTACCTAAAACTAAACCGTATGACTCAGAGCGTTGTCCGGATGCTCCTTGAACTCTGACAAGCTTGGTGCCGTGACCACTTTCCTGGGGAGCCTGTTCCAGTGACCGACCACCCTCTCAGTGAAGAACCTTTTCCTTATGTCCAGTCTGAACTTCCCCTGATGTGGCTTCCTTCCATTTCCTTGTGTCCTATCGCTGGTCACCAGAGAGAGAGGAGATCAGCACCTCCCCCTCCACTGCTCCCCTTGAGGAAGCTGTAGACTGCGATGAGGGCACCCCTCAGCCTTCTCTTCTCCAAGCTGAACAAGCCAAGTGACCTCAGCTGTTCCTCCTAAGTCTAGCCCTCAAGGCCTTTCGCCATCTTGATCACCCTCCTCTGGACACACTCTAATAGTTTGATGTCCTTCTTATATTGAGGCGCCCAAAACTGCACACAGTGCTCGAGGTGGGGCCGCATCCGTGCAGTACAGAGTGGGACAGTCACCTCTTGTGACCGGCTAGCTATGCTGTGTTTGATGCACCCCAGAACACCGTTTGCCCTTTTGGCTGCCAGGGCACACTGTTGACTCGTATTCAACTTGCCATCAATCCAAACTCGCAGATCTCTTTCTGCAGGGCTGCTTTCCAGCCTCTTGTCCCCCAGTTTGTACATATAACCAGGATTACCCTGCCCAGGTGGAGAATGCAGCACTTGATCTTGTTAAATTTCATACGGTTGGTGATTGCCCAGCTCTCTAGTCTACCCAGATCTCTCTGTAAGGCCTCTCTACCCTCGAGGGAGTCCACAGCTCCTCCTAGTTTAAGTATTGTTGGCAAACTTACTTAATGTACATTTGATTCCTGTGTCCAGATCATTTATAAAAACGTAGAAGAGCGCTGACCCTAAAATCAAGCCCTCGGGAACCCCACTGGTGACTGGCCACCAGCGTGATGTAACCCCATTTACTGTAACTCTTTGAGCTTGACCCATCAGCCAATTGCTCACCCAGTGTATTGTCTAGCTGTGTGCTGGACATTTTGTCCAGAAGGATACTGTGAGAGAGAGTATCAAAAGCTTTGCTAAAATCCAGAACCACCACATCTACTGGCTTCCCTTGGTCAACTGGATGAGTGACTTTGTCATAACAGGAAATTAAGTTGGTTAAGCAGGACGTTCCCCTTGTGAACCTGTGCTGGCTATGACCAATGACTGCATTGTCTCAAGTGTTTTTCAATAACTCCCAGAACAACCTTCTCCATGATTTTACCAGTCACTGAAGTGAGATTGACAGGCCTGTAACTACCAGGGTCTTCTTTCTTCCCCTTCTTGAAAACTGAGACAACATTTGCCAGTTTGCAGTTGACAGAGACCTCTCCAGACTCCCAAGACCATTGAAAAATCATGGAGAGAGGGCCCGTGATGACATCGGCCAGCATTTTCACTTACCCTGGGATGAATCCCACTGGCCCCATAGACAAGGGCATCCAGCTGGAGCAGGAAGTCTCAAACAAGTTCAGGGGTGGCCAGGAGTTTATCATCCCCTCAGTCACAATCTTCCAACACAGGTCTCCAGGGGTTCCAGGGCCCATCATCAGTGTTAAGGGCAGAGGCGGAGAAGGCATTAAACGTCTCCACTTTGTCTATGTCCCTATTTGTGAGGTTATCGACCTTATCAGGCAACTGACCAATGTTCCCTCTGATCCTCCTTTTGCTGTTAACGTATTTAAAAAAGCCCTTTTTATTGTCCTTCACAGTGCTGGCCAGCTTGAACTCTAATCGAGATTTGGCCACACAAATTTTCTCCCTACAGATTTTTTTTTTTGTCATAGAATGGTTTGGGTTGGAAGGGACCTTAAAGATCAACTGGTTCCAACCCCCCTGCCATGGGCAGGGACACCTTCCACTAGACCAGCTTGCTCAAAGCCCCATCCAGCCTGGCCTTCAACACTTCCAGGGATGGGGCATCCACAACTTCTCTGGGCAACCTCTTCCAGTGCCTCACCACCCTCTTGGTGAAGAAGTTCTTCCTTGTATCCAATTCAAATCTACCCTCTTTCAGTTTAAAGCCATTACCCCTTGTCCTATCACTATGTGCCCATGTAAAAAGTCTTTCTCCAGCTTTCTTGTAAGTCCCCTTCAGGTACTGGGAGGCTGCTATAAGGTATCCTCAGAGCCTTCTCTTCTCCAGTGGCAAACAACATCTCTGTGGTCCTCCCATGTCGCTTGTCCTTGCTTCCAGTGTCCATACACTTTTTCCATCTAAGTTCTAGAAGATCCTTGCTCAGCCAAGCCAGCCTTCTGCCCTGCTTGCTTGACTTCCGACACTGGAATTACCTGCTTCTGTGCTTTTAAGAGATGGCTCTTAAAAAGTGACCATCATTCATGGACCCCAGTACCTTCAAAAGGAGATTCCCAGGGGACCTTACTAACTAGCTCCTTCAGCAGCCTGAAGTCTGCTCTCCCCATATCTGGGGTTGAAGTTTTGCTGGCAGTTTTTCTCCTATTGCCAATGATTTGAAACTCAACTACTTCACGGTCACTGTGACCAAGACAGCCACCGATCACCACTTTGCCCACGAGCCCCTCTCTGTTTACAAACGACAAATCTAGGAGGGCACCTTTCCTAGTTGACTTCCCTTAGTACCTGCGCCAAGAACTTATCTTCAGTGTGCTTCAGAAATTTCCTGGACCTGTTTGTGTCCGCTGTATGATATTCCTAGTTGATGTCTGGGAAATTAAAATCACCCATAAAAACAAGGGCAGTTGATCTAGAGGTATACCTTAATTCCTTGTAGAACAATTCATCGGTGTCATCGTCCTGGCTGGGTGGTCAATAGTAGGCTCCCACAGCAACATCCACTTTATTTGCTTTCCCCTTCATCCTTACCCAGAGGCTCTCAACCATGTTGTCGCCAACTGTGAGCACCATACAATCCAACTCCTCCCTTACATACAGGGCCACCCCCTGCCTCGCCTGCCCTGCCTGTCCCTCCTGAAAAGCCTAGAACCGTCCATCATGGCACACCAGCCACAGGACTCATCCCACCAGGTTTCACTTATGCCAATAATATTGTAGCTCTGGCAATGGGCTGAAGCTTCTAGCTCCTCTTGTTTATTCCTCGTGCTGCACGTATTAGTACAGGGATGCTTCAAATGTGCTCCAGTATACTCAGAACATCGTGGAGCAGACGGAAGGACCTCGCTAGTACACCATTCCTCAAACATTGGCGTGCCGCCCCCAGGCTTATCCCTAGCAAGCCTGACTTTATCCCTTTCCCTGTTCAATTCCTTATCCCTTTCCCCCTTCAAATCCAGTTTAAAGCTCCTTCAAAGAGCCCTGCTAACTCCTGCACAAAGATCCTTTTCCCCCTTTGAGAAGAGTGCACCCCATCTGTCACTAGCAGGCCTGGTGTTGTGTAGACCAACCTGTGATCAAAAAACACAAAATTTCTGCTGGTGACACCAGGCTCAGAGCCAGGTATGGATATGCTGGCTCTTCCTCTTTCTTCCCCCGTCATTCCCTGCAACTAGAAGGGTAGAGAAGAACACTACTTGTGCTCCTGATCCCTTAACCAGTTGTCCTAAGGCCCTGAAGTCTCTCTTGATCGCCCTTGGACTTCTTACTGCAACTTCATTGCTGCCTATGTGAAAAAGCAATAATGGATAATAATCCAAGGGCTGTACCACGGTAGGAAGTTTTCTCATCACATCTTTAACCCTGGCCCTAGGGAGGCAGCAGACATCCCTAAGAAGTGGGTCCGGTCTGCATACTGCGCCTTCTGTTCCCCTCAGGAGAGAGTCTCCTATGACAGTGACCCATCTTTTCTTTATGGAAGTGGTTTTGACACAGGGCATAGGCCAACTTAACCTTAGCAACACCTCCAACCTAGATGACCATCATCCTCATCATTGTTCGGTTCCGCTTGCAGAGCCTCATACCTATTATGCAGGGGCACCTGGGAAGGTGGGGCAGTCACAGGCGCGATACACCTGCTGCGCCGGGCAGGAACTTGTCGCCATTCCCCCCTATCCCTTAAGTCACCGCATTCTGCTGGGTGGGGAGAGGATAGGGAATCCTCTGTATCACATGTCCTATCTGCCTGACAGCCCTGTACCAGGGAAGGTAGGGTGTGGTTCCAGTAGTCTATCAACTCCCTTGCAGACTCCCTGATACTCCTCAACCTACTCACCTCCTCCCGGAGCTCTGCCGCTAAGCGGAGGAGTTCCCCTACGTGGGCGCACCTCCCACAGGTGTGCTCACTGCTGCCGTCCGGTACTGGTGGAAGAGTAGGGCACGCCCTGATGACACCTGGGCTGCGTGTTCCTGTCAGAGCTCTGTCCGCAAAGCAGCATCAGTTGCAGGGGGTGCAGAGTTTAGAGAGGCCATGGCCTTCTGCCTGGTAGGTACCGTTGCTCCCTGGTTGAGCCGGCAGAGTTACAGCACCCTTCCTGCACGCCCTGCCGCCCAGACTGCCACGCCACACCCTGGTCGCTAGCACTCCCCGGGGGCTTCTTTTACAGGGGCTTGGCCACCATTGCTCCTGGCCTCGCCCAGGTCTCATCAGCCGCTGTGGTGTGAACTGCAGGCTCCTGTAGGGTCTCTCTGCTCCCCCTGAAGTTCCCCTGGTTCAGGAAACCACCTTCTGCACTGCACTAGAGCGCTCCGCTGCCGATGTGCCGGCATCAAAGCTGCTCGCCTTGGCAGTCTCTAAGGAAAGTATTGGTCGTATAACACTTGTATGCTGCTGAGATTTCTGTTCACACACCTGTATATTTAATGGTAACGTAAGAACAGACAAAAGTAACAACAGTGTGTTCCATGAGAAACGCTTCCAATTCCTCACTAGTTACAAATTAACAGATGTCACATATTTAGCTTTTAAATTATGTATTTAAAGAAGGATAAAATTAGAAAGTTTTAGGATTCAAAGAAGAAAGTGAGTGTCATGAAAACACTGTAAAGTCATTCAGCAGAAATGAACATGTAAGTATTATGCCCTAAAACAATAATAGTTTTATTCTTTATCTATTTTGACCTTGTATATGTATTCCTTGTATTTATAAGGCCTTTCTTACAAAGAGAAAGGCCCTATATCTCTTTCCTTCTGTGATTTCATTCCATTTATATTCAGGATTTTTTGGAAGCAATCTCCCAGATTACCAGAGGTCAGAGATTATGATGTTCATTATGGGAAAAGTACCTGTTTTGGGGACAACGTCACAATCACTGGATACCAGTCACCTTGGGTTTGTACATCCTACATTTTTAAATTTCTAATTAAAAATTTAGATTTTAGAATCCTGATAAATTAAGAAGTGAAAAAAAATTGAGAACAGTGAAATGGGAATTCTCACTCACTAGGGGCTGTATTAAGTGCCATGCAGAATCAAGGCAAGCACAGTGTCAGCAGTATGAAATCAATCTCCAAACACATTACTGATAGAAAATACCTGATTGGAATGCAACTTATTTTGCACTAAAACATTTCTTCTCTCCATATCTGTACAAATGTTTCTGAAATAATCTACTTAATGATGGTTAATTCCATAACTTCTTATACACGTGTTTTGTGTATGAGGGAAATTGAACTATAACTACATTTTTTCAAATAGCTGCATAATTTACAAATGTTTTTTTGTTTTTTCTTCATCCTGTATGAGCTAACTTCAGATTAAGAAATAAACTGCAGAAATTCCAGTGCATTTGTTTTTGTTTAGATTTTTCCTATTTATTTAGAAATAGGAAAAAGCTATAGGTGGGTAGATTCCTGTAATAAACCCATAATTAAAAAGCTGTCATATGCTGAAGTAATATTTCTCCCTGTAACATGAATAATTACGTTTAAAGACTGCTTTTCCTCAGTATGGGGAAAGTCACTGAAAAGTGTGCAGCTATTCTTTCCAGGTATGCATGGATACTTTGTACCACGTTTGTCCGATCCCCAGCTAGCTTAAGTAGGGAGTCATTGTCATTCTCCTGGCTTTTTGGTAGCTTTTCATATAGTGTTGTGTCCCTGCAGTATGGGACGCTATTCCATGGAAGACAGAAATCTCTCTGTGCCAGCCAGTTGCCACTCATTAAGAAGGTATTTGAAATATGGAATCATTTAGAATTCTGTATTTGGATTACCAGTTGTTGAGGGGTTTTTTTGTTTGTTTGTTTTTTAACTATACAATTTTCCTTTATGGGCTTCTTTGTAAACATGGGACTGAGTAGTATGCTAGCATGATGCGCATATGTCGTTCTCAGTAAAGCAGGCTTTCTGACTGCTAATACAGTTTTGCATTTCTTACTTGAAAATTTGGTCTCTGCTACACAAGACATTGGAATGATACTGCTAACTGGATATAGCCAGGATTGTAGCCTCTGAAGATGGAAGTTTCTGCTGTTATGTAGGGGCCAGCTTTTGTGAAGAGGCTTGCTCTTCCTTGCACTATTTGGTGGACAAAAGAGCTTGTACCCCTTTTTACTTTCTTGAAAGAGTTTTTTTTAAGAGTGTCTTTGAATGGAGCAATTTATTCCAAGTGCACTTTTATCTTGTAAGATCTTGCAAGAACAGTGCATATATACCAATAGGTATTTAACTTCTTTTAGTACCAGCAGATGGAAAATGAGAACAGATGAAGAACAGGTTAAGTGGTGTTCCGTGAACCTTCCTCTGATCTGAAAACTGAGGGTTCTTTCAGTTTTTCATGCTGATTTTGCAGATAACTTTTTTTCAGTCTCAAAGTTTTGCGGTCTGACTTGAACATGAAGTGTCCTGGTTTCTTAAAAGGCTCAATTACATTTTAATTCAGAAGAAATTCTGAGTGCTGATGCTTGTGAAAATTAAGTCAAGCCTGTAGCAGTTGAACATTTCAGATACAAAGAGATTTCTGAGTGAATCCTGAAGATTTAGGTCTGCTTCAGATGTATCACGGAATCACAGAATGGTTAGGGTTGGAAGAGACCGCTGGAGATCATCTAGTCCAACCCCCCTGCTGAAGCAGGTTCACCTAGAGCAGGTTGCACAGGATAGCGTCCACAGAGGTTTTGAATGCCTCCAGAGGAGACTCTATAACCTCTCTGGGCAGCCTGTTCCAGTGCTCTGTCACCCTCAAAGTAAATAATTTTTCCCTCATATTCAGATGGTGCTTCCTGTGTTTCGGTTTGTGCCCGTTGCCCCTTATCCTGTCCCTGGGCATCACTGAAAAGTCTGGCCCAATCCTCCTGACACCCGGCCTTAAATATCATTTACTGGTTTTTGTATGTGCTTTGTTTTTTAAGCCTTTCTATAAATGTCCCTTTCAAAAACATTTAGTTATTGTACCTCATTTGGAGATATTTGCCCCTTATTTGTGGTCATCCAACATCCCTTCCAAGACCGCTGTATTCACTTATCAAAAACACGGTTGTTAGAATGATGTCTGGAGTAGAATAATATTTTGAAGATATGCAAAGAAACTAATTTTCAACTTTTTTCCGATTGTAGAGATTTGGGAACTAGGAGGATTCAAATCATGTTATTGAGATCTTTACTTATGGTAAGCCTTCTGTGTTCAGTATACTATGTTACAATCACACGGTGTTTCACTTTATGTATACATTTATACATGTAAGTACAGTATTACATCTCTGTATTATGAAATTAAACATACCTTCATATTACATAGATCTGTAGCTCTACTGAGTAAAATTGTGGCAGCATTTTCCCAACTTACTTTACAAACGGCTCAAGAAATATTCCTCCATCTCTTAGAGCACTTCAGTGAATAGCAGTTATAATTGGATATGCAGATCCAAAAGAACATCATAGAGTAGGTTGAGTTGACTAGTTCTGCCAGCAATGCTGGCAACATGAAAGTGAAATCACTTTTGTCTCTGACACCAGAAAAGCTGTAATTAGTAGAATGGCTAATATTTTTAAAACTGTAGGAAAGGATGCCTATCTCCAAGCCCTTAGAGCCTCAGGCACCATTGTTCTTTCCTTCCTAGTATTTCCCAAGTTTATTGTAAGGTATAATTAACTTTTTTATCACGAATACATTTTTCAACTGTAAGCCTTCAAAGAGTATTTCTGGAAATACATGCTGATGGTGAGAAGCAGAAGTGGGTAGTAAAGGAGGCTCTTGCCTGTAGAATCCTGGCCTGTTTTGATGCAGAAGCTGAAAACTGTTTAGTGACTGAAGTAGGGGAAACAGCATAAAGAATGATTTCATACTAAAGCAGTAGAATGCCTTCCTGGAAAATGAGTTTCTATCCCTGCTTTGACATGAAATTTGTATGTGATGTTAGCCAAATCAGTTAAACCATTCTTTGCTTGTCAGAGTATGAAATCCTGGATTCTGGCTTGCAGAAGGGGTGAGCATTCACAGTTGCAATTTAAGGATAGAAGACATGTTAGAAAGGGCCTCAGGGGGTCATTTTGCACATTGCCTTCATTAAAGATAGACTCAGCTTTGCCTAAACAGTTCCTGACAATATTCACCTCACCAGTCTGAAAAATTTCCATTGAAATTGGTAAGAATTTTTCTAGTTATTTGGGGTGCTGCATAGCCTGTAAGTATGCTTTAAGGGATTCAAATAGTGCATGTGGAAGGAATTTAACATTTTTGACACTCAATTTTGTTTTGGATTCTCTTTTACAATATGGAAGTAAAATCCCATCATGGCACAAATATGTGAAAGTGAATGTTTTGATGCTTAATGAATTAGTCAGACGTTGATAAATATTGTGGAAAAAATGTGAGAAGGAATTTGTCTTCAGAGCAAAGCTTTTGTTGTGGTATATAAAGTTTAGTCTGCACACATAATAAAGAACTAGAAACTACTGAATCCTACCTGTTCTGTGTACTGAACTGAGCGTTGTACATCATCTATTCTTTACAGAAGAATAATACTTTGTAACATAATTAGTCTGTTGTCGTGCATACACACAGGCAGACAACTTAATGTTGTATAGGCAATTAAAATCTGGCACTTCATTAAAATATGCACTTTTATTTGCAGCCTCGCTTCTTGTAATAATAGTAATTTTCCATTTTCAAAATGATTTATTAGATACCTTCATGTACCCTCGTGCTCCTCTGCCAGCCAGTTTCCTTTCAACCTCTTCAGTTATGCTGTAGGAATAGTGCTTGCTCACATGTTGTGGTTTAACCCCAGCAGGCAGCAAAGCCCCACCCAGTCACTTGCTCACTCCTCCCCAGTAGGACTGGGGAGAGAATCGGAAGGGTACAAGTGAGAAATAGTGGGTTGAGATTAAGACAGATTTTAGTAAGTAAAAAAAGGGAAAAAAGAAAAAAAAAGATAAAAAATAAAGCAAACACAAACAAACAAAACCCCACCCAAACAAACTACTAAAAAAACTCACCCAAAACCCAGTTGCTCACCACCAGCCAACTGATGCCCAGCCAGCCCTCGAGCGACGGCAGCCCTGGCAAACTGCCCCCAGCTTTATATGCTGAGCATGACGTCATATGGTGTGGGATATCCCTTGGGTCAGTTGGGGTCACTTGTCCCAGCTCTGTCCCCTCCCAACTTCTTGTGCACCCCCAGCCTGCTTGCTGGTGGGGTGGGGTGAGAAGCAGAACAGGCCTTGACTCTGTGTAAGCACTGCTCAGCAATAACCAAAACATCTCTACGTTGTCAACACGTTTTGGTCACAAATCCAAAATACAGCACCATATATGCTATTATGAAGAAAATTAGCAATCCCAGCCAAAACCCGTACAACACAATGTGCACGTAAAAGCTGTAATGGTGTGGAATATGCATAATGAATATACAATTATTATGCAAAGTCTTAGGTAAACATATAATGCTTTTATTAATGATTAAATTTTGGATTATTTTGTTCCCCTCATACTCAACAGTGTATGTTTGGCAGTTTCTGAATCCTGTTTTGGTTTTGAGATTGTAATAGCCTGGTAACCTCTGCTTTAAGGGACAGTAACTTTTTAAACATTTCTGACTGCTGTAAATGTTCAGCTGATGAATATTTAAATTGTCAGATTGAAGTTAACTTTTCTTTGTGTGCCTACAGAGCTTGCTTTAAATAAAAGTAATCGAATGAGGCAAGGCAGCAGTAGTATTAGTTTAAAAAAAGAAAAAACACCACCATGGTACCAGACTTCTAAGAAAGTGATGTTTCCTGCTTGCTTTCTTTTTTGCAATAAAGTAGTATCTATAGATGTTTAAGATGTACATATAGGCCCTGATTTCTCTTTTTACCTTCCCATAAGTATACTGAGTACCATATATGAGCAGCTCAGAGCCTGAAATGGAGAAGTCTCTATTGGAATTATTACTATCTTCATTTTATGCCCTGCAACTTTTCATAAGCTGTTTAAAAAAAAAATCATAAATGGTACCTTTATTTTTTTCTTTCAGGTATGTTGACAGAGGAAGGATCTTGAGAAAAAACACTTTAAAACAGGGAGTTCATTTGAACATGAGTATTAAAGTCCTTCCAAATTCTTAGTGAGGTTAGGAATTTTCAAAACTAATACACTACTTCCATTTGACTCTACCTTTCAGATGCCAAAGCAAGCACACTAAAAAGTGAGTGACAGCTGCAAGTAATTCGTACAATGCAATAATGACACACGTTAATTTTACTTCCAACAATGAACAGGTGACTTCAGGATACAAAGCAACAACGATAACTAATGCACTTCCTCCCCCGTTTCTGGACCCGTTATTGTCTCCGTCACTCATGGAAGACTCTGAGCTAAGGCAGCTGGTCTTGGAAATACTGCATAATCTCATTGATCGGCATGACAACAGAGCAAAGCTCAGAGGGATACGGTAGTTCTTTTTGTTTGCTTTGGCCTACTTGAAATTCTAGTTTAGTATCTGAATGATAAGTACTGTTGATTTTTAAATATTTTTTCTAATATGAAATGTTAATATACTATTCTGATAAATGCACAGTGGTCAGTGTCATTTATTGATGGCAAGAGTTTTACAGGTAAGCCTCAGTGCATGATACCTTAAATGACCATTCCAAATATCTGCTAGTTTAACTGTGGAAGACAGAATATGGTATTTTATGTAGAGAAAAAAAATATGTGGTTGTCATAAGTCTGTTTATGGTTCTCCTTCTACAACTGAAATTCGAATGTCATTGTTAAACATGGATATAATTTAAATGGAAATTGCTTCAGGATTTGTTTGAATAGTTCATATATTTCACATCCTCTTCCCTTTCAACTTCTTTTTGCTAAAATGACATTTTTGTTTCCTTTGTAGAATAATACCAGATGTTTCTGATCTAAAGATAAAACGAGACAAAATTTCAAGGCAAGACGTGAGCTTCATGAAAAAGGTAGTAGAATGAAAAAGTTAACTTTTCTATCTAGAAAGAAGATAAAGTAACTGAACTGGTTTCTTTGCTTTTCTTCTACAACTGTGTTTTTGCAACAAGTTGCAAAGATGATTATTGAGTGATTTGAACTCAAATTACAGTGATTTCAATGTTGAGGTGCTCTAGATACTTGAGAGTGGTTCAGTGGAATAAAATTTTCAGTTATGTCTTCAGTGAAAATCCTTGCATGCATGAAATTAGAACAGTGTATATCTAAACCACGATTCTGAAAAGCGCATCTCCTTAAAGGATTGTTCTTATAGGACATCATGCCAGTTGACTTCTGAGCATGTTGGGTTCTAAAGAAAAACATTTTTTTTTTTTTTTTGATGATGCATATGTGGAGTGAAATTACTTCTTTACAATAAACACCTTATTTTCTATGTGGGAAAAATGCATATAGTTATTAGTGTGCTATGTCATTCCTGATTATAGTTTATCTGTGTAGGTATGTTTGTAAACAAAAAATACAAATTACTGACGTCAGCTCAAGCAGGCTTTAGAACATTTATCACTGTTGTCTGCCTGAGAAAATATATTAATTTCTCACAGCTATCCTATACCATTTTGGTTTTGTTTCCTATTAGCTGTGAAGTAAAAAATGTGTGTCTTCAGAGTGCTGACTTAATTTAATATTCTAATTATAGAAATCAGAAGAATTGCAATTTAACTTGTCCAGAGGCAAAAGTACTGCATATATAATAATATGCAAAATAGAGTTTTGTGACTTTCAAGTAACATTGCAAGATAAATGTTCTTGCTTAGTTAGTACAGTTGATGTTACTTGCAGTATATTTACACCTGTTTTGCTTAATGCTGGAATAATGCAAATATAAAGAATACTCCAACGTTGGCAATTATTAGTGATCTATCCTTGTAAAAAAATGAGTTAAATTTTAATTCGTGAATTTAATATTTAGGATTTAAAACAGTTTGGATAAGTTCTATTTACTGATTTTGCTAGATGAAAATTTTAATTGTCAAACTAAACGTTTGAATTGTTAACACTCTCATCTGAAAAAGAGGGCAGGAGAGGAAAAGAAACTTTTACCAGGTCAAGAAAAGATCATACAGTCTTCTAAAAAATGTATTAACCCTGGGCAATGAAGTCCCGTGTGATACTGTTTCAGGTGCATGTCGTAAACTTAATGTTACTCACCTAGTTTAGATATATATGTTGTCAGCCTATTCTTCCTAGATTCCTTGCATTATCAAAGGAGAGGGGTGAAGCACCTCCAGAAGTCCATTAAGACCTGAAATGACCATCTAGGCTTGTTTGATGTTAGATGGGGATCCTAAGGCAATTGTGTATCGTACTTAGGAATTTCAGTACCTAAAATTAGGTGGAATTAAACCAGACATAGACACAAAGCTCTCTTCATCTCAGTCCACCTTCTCAAAGCCAGGAGGTTTATTTCTGTCCTTTCTTTCATCCTTCTTGTATTTTGCAATCTTCTAGAAAGATACTACATGTCGAGAAAATCCACGTAATAATTTATTTTCATATCCAGATGCAATTCTTTCAGTGGGATGAATAATTTCATTACTTTTAGTTTCCAAATATAGTCTTTCAACAGCTAACCTTTACTGTGTTTATTTCATAGCAGCTTCTGTGCTTTGCTAATAACTCTGTATCCCTCTTTTCTAAATAAAACATATATTTGATTTTAGAAGTAATAAGAAGGCTAACAGCATCTTTATTATTTCTTAAGTGAGTATGTCCTGCTTGAAAAACATGTTAAACATGAGTTTTCTTTCTCCTCCTAAAGCTAAACTAGTACTTCCAGAGGTAAAGCATCAGTCCTCAGATCTAGAAAATTAACTATGTCAGCTGATACAGACCTGTACCCTCTACAAATTAAGAATGCTGCGGTGGTACTGAGTCATGTATTGCACACAAAACCTGCTCCTTAACCTGACTTTCTGAATTTTCTTTTTTTTTGTGTTGAAATAATAGTTTTGTTACAAAGATTAGGTTAAGGACAGCATTACAAGGAAAGTAAAGTCACTTTTGAAGTTGAGGGTCTTTCATTAGGTAACCTATGTTCTTCACTAGAGCTAGAGCCTCCATATGCTCAGTGGTAAAAGAGCCCTACTCATCTTCTGAATCACTGAAAAAAAGAACTTTTTCTCGGTTTGCTCTTAAAGGGGACTTGCTTGATGAACAAGTTTGATGTTCTCACAAGGATAATCCTTGAAGCTTCTCAGTTACTTGGATGTTCTTGAGAGTGTTTCAAGATCCACTTTTTTCCTTGTCATAAATGGGCAATTTTTTTTCTGAATATTTCAATAGGAAATGAATGCCAATGTCTGACACACAGTGCAGTATTCATGTGAAATTCTCTGTATCATCTTGCCCATCCGTACACTTCTACATAAAATAAAATAGTACTGTATTTATAAAGAACCTACTGTTATGGTATTACACTAGTGGTCTTCTTTATTAATCGTGTACTTGTTTGTTTATATGTGTGTATACATGTATTTATCCCTTTTTATTTTTTTAATGCTCTATCCAAAATGATCTAACATCAAAGTTGACTCTGCTTGGAGCAGGGAGTTGGACTAGAGGACCTTTAAGTATCCTTTCTAACCTAAATTATTCTGTGATTTTAATACTCCTTTTCCCTTTTTTGTCTTTTATAGCATGGTCAGCAGTTGTACAGACACATCTACTTAGGCTGTAAAGAAGAAGACAACGTCCAAAAAAACTTTGAACTGCTGTTTACATCTCTAGCTCTTATCACAATTGAGCTTGCCAATGAAGAAGTGGTTATTGACCTCATTCGATTAGCTATTGCTTTGCAGGTATGAGTCTGAATCAGTGTTGGGTTCATTGATTGACAATTTGTATTGGTAATTGGAGATGTGGGTAACTTTTTTTTTGTTTGCATATTGATCTTCAAATTGGAAATCACATCATTCAGTCCTAATTTGATCCATCCATTAAGGAAGTGCACTTTGTACATAACGCTTATTAATAGGGAAACTTCAACTAATCAGATTTGTTACAAACTTTTACAACACGTTCTCTTCAGGAAATATAGCAGATGTGGAAATCTGTTGAAACTTTCCCTGGAATCAATGATATATTCATTAGCAGATTGACAAGGTATTCTTACAGTCTTGCATCAATGTTCCGTATAAAATACATGGAATGTCGTCACCTTGGAAAAAAGCTTTTGATTAATTGATTGGTTGGAAATATTTGTCAAACCAGGCTATTTAATCTTACCTTAGAGTAAAACTCTATTAGTGTGTTGACAGGCTTTATTCCTTAACATTTCCTTTACAAGATGAAACATTATTTCATGCCTACAGTCTTCAGTGAAACTGTGTAACTTAGTAGGTTTATCTGTGTTGAAATTAAAGCATTCAAAAAAAACAGTGCTAGCATGTGCCACAGAAATTTGATGAAATTGTGTCCTGTGTTCCCAGTTCACCCTCTGTCATAGGCCTTATTCCCTAATGTGCAGCTGCATTAGGAAACCTCTGAAACACAGAGCGCATCCTTAGTTTTAAAATATGTCACCGAACCAAATCCTTACTTGATGAAAATGACATTAGGAGTTTTGCTAGAGCAAAAATAATACAATCTGAATAAACATAGAAATGCTAATAAGCATTAAATAGTTCCCTTTATGGTACTGTATCTGTGACTTACAAGAGAGATTTTTATTATTAAACTACTGTTTCTAATTTTCCTGAAAAAAGTTATGATCAGCAGGTGGTCCTTATGGGAATCTTAAGGACAAGAGACTAACAGTCATTAACCTGTACTCTCTTTTTGAGAAACAGAAGTTTGAGTGGAGTAGATTTATGTCTCTTCTTAGGGGTTGAGTCCTTCAAGCTCTCTAACTTCAGATCAATACATGCCTAATTCAAGAGTGAGCTAGAAGACTAGAATTTTAAGGTGAGAGGTTCTAAATGCCAAGTAATACTTAGGTAGTCATCACATGTCCACTAGTGTTACTAATAATAAATTTGACTTCCATATATTTGGGACAGCCTGTCCTTTTGAGGGTGTAATGCTCTCCTTTATATTTCAGGACATTGCCATCATCAATGAGGATAATCTACCAATGTTTAATCGTTGTGGTGTCATGGCATTGGTTGCAGCGTATCTAAACTTTCTGAGTCAGATGATTGCAGTTCCTGCCTTTTGTCAGCATGTCAGCAAGGTAACACATAATTAAGTAATTTAAGTCATTTAGAACAGTACACATTCTACTGTAAAATGGGTAAATAACTTCTGTCAAGTAATTGCTTGTGTTGTTGATCTCCTGTATTTGTGTCCACCAACATTGCTCTTTGGTATCCGATGGCATTACTTGCTGATTCTTAAAACTATGCACAGAATATTCTTCTCTCAAGGTATAGCATTTTTATTTTGTTTATGGTACCATATATAATGGGCTAAATCCGCATCTGGTGTAAGACTTTACAGCCTCACTGGCTTTGATAAAACAGTACTGACATGCACAAGACCATGTGAACCAGATTTTTAGTCTAAAGGGCGAGTGCCACAATCCCTTTCTCTGGTTAAAAGAAATTGTAAAGGCCTCATTTGTGCTGAGGTAGATGTTAGTGAAGGGTTGGTAATCTGCTACAGTAGAACCTCTTTAAGCAATTTAGTCATTGGAGAAAATACCTATGGAACTACTCCGTTGGTACTATTTGTCTTGGTTTTTTTCAGGTCATCGAAACTAGAAGTCTGGAAGCATCTTATTTTCTACCAGAAACAATTTTCAAAGACAAATGCAAGTAAGTAGATACAGAATGCGAATTAATGAACAGTGAAGTACCTATTTTACTACTAAAACTTGCACACATTAAAATATGTTGCATATGTGAAAAATAATTTAGAGGTTTAATAGTGTACAGGATAGGCAGAAGAAAACAAAGCATTTAAAAGCATATCAAAATCTGTTTTTCAGACTTATTGTAGTCAGAAGCACTTATATCTGCACAATATGATGCTTGGTTTAAGTGCTAACACAGCAAAATGCATTTTCACTGAATCACAGAATGGGTGAGGTTGGAAGGGACCTCTGGAGCTCATCTGGTCCAGCCCCTCTGCTCAAGCTGGGTCACCTAGAGCAGGCTGTCCAGGACCACATCCAGGTGGCTTTGGAATATCTCCAAGGATGCAGACTCCATAACCTCCCTGGGCAATCTGTGCCAGTGCTTGGTCACCCTCACAGTGAAAAAAGTTTTCCCTGATGTTCGAACAGGATCTCCTGTGTTTCAGTTTGTGCCCATTGCTTCTGGTGCTGTCACTGGGCACCATTGAAAAGAGCCTGGCTCTATTGTCTTTCCATCCTTTGTCCCTTAAGGTAGTTGTACACATTGAGAAGATCCACTTTCTTTTCTCCATGTTGAACCGTCCCAGCTCTCTCAGTCTTTCTTCATTGGAGAGATGCCCCAGTCCCTTAATCACCTTTGTGTTCTTTGTTGGACTCTCTACAGTAAGTCCATGTGTCTCCTGTCCTGGGGAGCCCAGCACTTGACACAGCACTCCAGGTGTGGCCTTACCAGTGCTGAGCAGGGGGGAAGGATCACCTCCCTTGACCTGCTGGCAATACTCCTCCTAATGCAGCCCAGGATACGCTTAGCTTTTTTTGTCACAAGGGCAAATTGCTAGCAAATAACAAATACTATTACTCTGCAGTGTTTTCCATTTAACACAGACTATATTCTCTCAAGACGTAGCAGAATAGGTGAGGAACATAATTTAGATAACCAAGAAGTGTTAGGGTAACTTAAAATATTGCAGAGGTATTCAATGGACTAATTTTGGAGTGTATATTCATTCCTAAATAACTGAGCAAGTTTTATTTGTGTCAAATCATTACCATTGACCCTTTTTGATTGCTTGCAGACATTATAAAAGTATTTTACTTAATGAACAAATCTCTGTTGGTAGATAATAACTTCAAATATATATTTTGACAGTCTTCCAAAATCCTTAGAGAAGCATGAAAAAAATTTATTTTTCCTGACAAACAAGATTGCAGAATCATTAGGAGGCAGTGGATACAGTGTGGAAAGATTGTCAGTTCCTTATGTACCCCAGGTAACAGGTAAGTGGTGATTAGTGGCAAAACTGCTAAGTATCAGTTATTAAGAATGCTTGCTTAATGTGTTGTGTGCCAATGAAATGTAGTGTGATTACTTGGCAACAAAACTTAGTCAAAGTATAATTTTGTTTTCTCAAGATGTTTTTTTCTCTCATTAGCTACTGTATTATTGCTAAGAAGTTTCAACCTTGTGTCCTTTTAAGATTTCCTTTTTTTTTTTTAAATTCAGGAGGTGGGGCAGAAAGTTTTTGAACCCACTTCGACCCTTTTTACTGAAGTCTTTGCTTTCAGAAGAATACCTAAGAAGATATTAGTGATTAGTAATGCTTTTCTGTATTCACTTGAGTTAGCAGGTGAGGAAGGATTATACAAGTCAGCATACTTTATCCTTTTTCTGTAAACACTGGATGGAACCTATTCCATCCTTTTGCCATGTGGCCTTGTGCTGACTTGAGTTATTGGCCTTAGTCAAATTCGCAATGAGCAGATATTAATTTCATCGAGTGTGTTATGTTTTCCTCCGTTAGATACCTATGCTAGCTTGGTGTCAAGTAACACAATGAAAATAAAGTATTCCTGAGGAAGATTGGTGAGAGTTTGTGCTACCCAGGATGCTTGAATAGTGTGTGAATGACTAGCTAGTATGTGACATTGTGTCTTTTCGCCTTCTAATGTATTTTTAACAGCCAATTGAGCAACTTACTGAAAAAAAAATTGTTCAAAGAATTTGTTTTATTTACCATGTCTGTTTTGTGACTACGTAACTGGTTGCTGTTGTAATAGACTATGGGACATCCCAGTCTGAAGCATGACCTTTTTGTGAAATAAAAGTACCTAGCAGGAAAATGTGATTCCTGTTTTGTAGCTCATGCATAGAAAGAAACATAGTACATACGGACAAATGAATGCCGGATCCGTCACACTTGCAGTACGATTTAGAGACATTGCTGCCTGCTCTTGAATAGGCTTTTTTGGATAGCTGCTGTGGGAGGGAATGCGTTCTCCAGAACAGATGTGGTTTTGTCCCAAGTGGTAGCAGGCAAACTAGTGATATATTCTGAGACACAGCTGCAACGTCTGTGTTGTCTCCTGCTGGTTGTCTTCTTCTAAAAAGGAAAATGTTGCTATACTTGACAGCTTATTTTTTCTGGCATCCAAAAAAACAGTTAACATTATATTTTAATATTGGCAGAAGAGGTAGGTAGCAAGTAAGGAAATGTTATGTTTTCAAATTTTTACTGTCTTTGAGTGAATGAGAATGGAATGAGAAAGATAACCTGGTTTGAAATCTGTGTTAAGCCTCTTACAGAAATTGAGATGTGTTTGTACCCTAATGACCTTGCTAGGGTTTTCTTGGATACTTTGATAAAAATGCATTCCTACACAGGAAGATATGTAATTTCTGACATCAAGGTTAAGTGAGTTTAGCTGCAAGTATGTGATTAACTGCTTCTTCAGGTGATGAGAAATGGCTATATTTAATGCTAAATCTTAGTGTATGCGAATCAGATGGAGGGGTTTTTTGGTGATCCTTTTGTAAAGAGCAGTACCAAAACTGGTTCCATGTCTGTTATCGTGTCTAATTAGGATCATTAATCCCTGATCCTGTGGAATATTGAACTTCCAAGATTTTCATTTAACTAAATCAGGACCAAAGTGAATATTTTGGAACTCTGAAACTTTTCATTTTGTACTTCAATGAAATGTTTCATTTCTAGTATTATATTATAATGCTTGAATATAGTGTGTCAAAATATATCATTAATTTTGGTAAAAGATGGATCCATTTTTTATATATTCCTGTGAAAGTTATGGTTGAACCCAAAAAGCCAGTAAAGATTTTATCCTAATTCTTTCTAGTAATTCTGAATATCAATGATATAATGCTTAATAATGACTTATAGACATAAAATCATCATCCTGTCTTTGTTTCAGGTTTTGGTACTTCTTATCAGTTTGAAAGACATTCATATTTACGATTTCTTGTACCTTGTTCTCTTCCTTATTTGGGGGAGGGGGGACGCTGATAATTTAAATGTACATCTAATCATTTTTTTTGTCTAGACATATATAATTTTTTTAAATTTAGCTCTATTTCCATCAGGCAAAAAACCTCATAAATGCAGACACAAGTCAAAAGGTAAAAATGAGTTGTAGGTCAGCCTGCTCTCCTGCTAGTTGTGGTGTGTGTATAGAACGTGCACAGTCAAAAAAAAAAAAAAAAGTGCTTTTAGAAGGCCTTTAGGCCAGAAATTGTGTTGTACTTAGTGTTTCCTTCTCCTTTTTTTTGTTTATCTCCTTGATATACCTGTAGCAATGTTAGCTGCTGCAAGGTTTGTCTTTGTGTTTACTCTTAGTTTGGAACTCTACAATATGGTAGCTTCCTATTTTCTTTTCTTGAGCAGGTAGTAGGGGCTATAGGTATCATTTTTGTGATAGTACTAATTACTTCTCTGAGTGAAGTAACAAGAACTTGGTAGAAAGTTGGAAGAAGCGCTCAGCTGTTCACAGAACGATGATTCATCTTACTTGCTGGCTGTTCAGGATAAAGGTCCATTAGTGGGACATGTATATGTGTCTATGTTCTGTGTGCATCCCACCAGCGGCTGGGCTTAGACACAGTCTACCCACCAGCTGTCTCCTGGTTCCCAGTCTCCCCAGTCACTGGCACCTGGGCATGTGAGTCCCCAGGGCCCACAGCCCCAGTCTGGCTGCTGGTGCAGATCCCCCTCGTGCACAGTAACGCACACGCACGTGCGCACATGGGTCTCGGTCAACCTCCCAGGCTCCATGCTCTTTCTGACAGTTGGCCTGGGCCTCGTGGTCCCTCTGGGTGCATTCCCCTCAGAGACAGACTGACACACAGATAGACAGACACACACGGACGCCCCCAGCTCCCAGACCACTTGATCTACTCACCTGCTGGTCCAGCTCGATGTTCCCTTGTTACCATGCACTGGTGCTGTGTTCCCTCGCTCGCTTGAGACACACAGGCCCTCTGACCCATGGTCTGACTCCAGTTGCTGCGCTCAGACCCCCCCACACACACCTACGCAAAGAATAGAGTCCCTCGCCCAGGAAAAGAGAAATGGGATTTAATGAGAAGATGGGACAGGCTGCACTGATGAGGCTCAGGGCATGGCCAGATGCATGTGCTCATCAGCAACCGGTTTACATGGGACTGATGCCTTTATCCCCTTATCCCTCTGTTTTCCTTGCTTGCTCCTCCCCAAACCATCTCAGTCCTCCTTTTCCCCACCCTTGGTTCCTCCCCTAAATGTCCCATACTAGATACATTGCCTTGCACAATCCCAAGATGCTGTTTCCCTGCATCTCAAGTGTCCCATACCCCAGGCACTGACCCCGACTTGGTCAGTGAGGTGACCCAGAGAGCTGCTTACGTTGCCCCATGGCCAAGACTTGTGGGACAGCCCTGGTGGGGGCTGGGGCAGTGGGTATTGGGTCTCCACCGCTGCCCTCATGCCTCTCGGCTCCTTTGTGTGTGTAGAGACAAGCTTTATAGCGTAACAGAAAAAATTACAATTTTCACAATTTTTTACCCACTTAATGTGTTGAAATTAGAGAAGAATGAGCATTTTTATTAGGCAAGTGTAGGGAGGCATCCATTATAAAAATGAATTCTATGCAAAGTAGTCCCAAAAATGTATCTTCTGGTGTTTGCGTGCCAATTATAGAGAGAGCAGCAAGATGGCAGCAAAGATGCAGCTTTGTCTTGTGTTTACTCTTGAGGGCTAAGGTGCTTTCCTCAGACTCTGTATGTATTGGGTCGTGTACCAGTAAGCCGTCAGGGATTAAAAATTAAGTAAATCCTTCAAAATGCCACTTCAAATGCTCAGGGACTCTGAGAACCTGGCAAAGATAGCTAGAATTCAGGTGTTTTTCACTAATCTTGTTCTTTCACTGCCTCTTGATCTTAAAATAGCATTTCATCTATACAACTTCTGAAAGTTATTTCTTGGGTTTTTTTTAAAAGCTGAGTATGTTCAGCTCTGCTGGAACGAATCCTGTTGATTCAAGCTCAATATTTGCACTGCAAAAGTGCTTTGCTAGAAGTGGATTAAACAAAGGTTGCGGAAGAAAAGTATAAATGACCTTGTGGTGGGGTAGTTTTTCAGTCGTGGTTCTTATCCTTATCTTAGTATCAGGTGCCTGTAGGTGCTTCTAACTATGTGCAGTGCAAGTCGTCAAATAATAATGGCCGGATCCAAATGGCTTGATCTCGGCTAAAATCTAAAATGTGACATGGGAATTCATGGTTTTGTAAATGAGATACACATAAGTCAGGCCACTCAAGTCTCCATTTGTCAGAGGATCCTCATGACACGTCTGTAAATGCATTTTTAACTGTTCTTTTTAATCTTGTGTTAATATATTAAATGTCAAAGATGAGAAAAGGTTATTGGCGTATCATCTCAGGAATGCAATCACAAAAGGAAAATCCATCAGCTGATGGATCATTTGATCAAAATCTGCTTCCGCATTAATGAAATAATTGTGCTCCTTTTAGTATCAGCGCAGTTGGTCTTATTCTGTCAACGTTTTAGGCCAGCTGGACTTGCTAAAATGTTTGCAGGAAGTTCGAAATGGAGAGAATTTTTTTTTTCACCAAGTGGATTTTTAGACTTGCTGAATATGGTACTTGTAGCAACAAGAATAAGGAAGGATTGTTGCTCATTTCCATTCAGAAATCTTAATTTCTTCTGTCAATGAGTCATCTTCCAAGAAGCCCTTTTCTGTTTCAGAGTACCTTCAAATTAAGACCTTAATATTTCAATTTCAAAACCAAAAGAATAAGTTCAGGCTTTTGAAAATTACTCTGCAGCAATATATCATCATGTACTATGTTACTTATTATGCGTTTGAATAAGATCTCATCTTATTTTTTAAAATTCAGGGCTTTCAAGGCAAAGTTGGCAAGATCTGGGATGAGAGGGGGAAGGGACAATAAAAAGGGTATTTTCCTTCATATTTAATAATTTAGAGCGGTAACTGATCATTTTTCAGAACAATCCAAATTATAAAATAGATGATTTTGGGTTAAATAGGCATATAGAAACAAATCTGCATCTGCTGTGTAGAAATTCCATTGATCGTGTTTCAACTGTTATACAAAAAGTAAGATTAAGTTGGTTTTCTTCTAGATGAGGACAGACTCTCCAGGAGGAAGAGCATTGTGGACACGGTATCTATTCAGGTGGATATTCTGACTGGCAACAACATAGAGGATAAGGTATGAAAATCACGGGATATTTTAAAGCAGCATCTCTGGAGGGGGAGCAGTGGGGATGCAAATGACATTTTCCCAGAAAGTGTAGTATCTAATTGTGCTAGCAATGTTAAATGCATTGAGAGATTGATTTTTTTTTTAACTCCTATATTTGTAGAAATGTGTTGTCAGAGACACTAATCTTGATCTTGCTCTATAAAAACGTAAAGTATTTTGTCACTATAGTTTTTACAGATAATACTGTAGAATATGGGGTAGCAATACATATATATGCCGAACAACATGGGGCTGACAGGTAAAAGACTAGTGAGAGGGGCAGGTAAAGGCTAGGCAGGCTGCTTACACCACAGTGTTACAGTGTCATGTTTTCCTTCTAGAAGAGTTTAGCACACAGTGCTTTAAAGGCACAGGAAGGATAAGGCAACAACAAAAAGTTCATATGTAGGGTACAGGAGCTGATCCTAATTATCCCTTACGAAGACTTCATTATAATTAAAATGATCCCACATCTTTTGATACTTCATGTGAAGTATTTCTTAAAATAAATTTCCATTTCTACTGAATCTTTTTCAAGGTTCTGCTGATTCTTATTAACCAGATTTCTGCTGGCTGCGATGGAGATTAGCTGTTGAAATTGAGGTGTTTGTACCTGCAAACGAATCCTACCGTTACCATCTTAAAGCACAAACGGGCCAGGGGCATGAAACAGAATGTGTGGACAGAGTCAAGCTGACTGTTAGTAAAAAATGTAGTGTTAAGCTATTGTAAAGGAGCAAGCCCCATTTCAGAACTTACTGACAGAAGTGGTTTATGTTTTGCATCATTATTTTTATTATTCCTTTCTGCTCTGTGCTGATGATACCTCAGATGATATTCTGTGTTCAGTTCTTGGTATTGTGCATTAGCAAGGATAAAGATAAACTACATAAAAGTTTAGGAGAAAGAAGAAAAAAGTGTTTGAAAAATAAACCAGATTATGATAATCTTTAGCTTTCTGAAGAAAGTAAATGCTCGTAATAGGAATGGGGGTGTTTGACATTAGTATCCTTTTTTAAAATCATATGTTATATGTGATTGTAGGTGGTTGAACATTTCTCTTGAAAGTAGAATTAAATGAGAGAAGTTTCCATTTCAGATTTCAAATGATTATGCTGATGTTATGTTAAGCATTGATATATAGATGTTTTTGAAGAGCATATAGCAGTTGTAGATAAATCAAAATCTTTGTATGGGTTCTCAATTTAACGTGGTACAGTGTCTTGGATAATGAATTACTGTTTGTCTCTCTTAAAAACAAGAATTCTGTTAATCAGAAACACATGAAATAAAGTGTTTCTCCTTTAGTTACTTTACAATGTTTGTTTACAATGCAAAGGGAAAACCAGTATTTTCCAATTTGCTGGCTGCACCTTAATACCTAAATCATGAACATTTGAAAAACATTCATAGGATCAGAATCATTTGGGTTGGAAAAGACCCTTAAGATCATCGAGTCCAACTGTAAACCTAACACTGCCAAGTCCACCACTAAACCATGTCCCTGAGCACCACGTCTACCCGTCTTTTAAATACCTCCAGGGGTCCCCATCCCTGGGCAGCCTGTTCCTTCAGTAATGGGGCTCTGTAATTTTTCCTAATTCTTGTTCCCTCATGATGCGTGGGTTTGCCCACCTGCAACATAAGATGATACACTGGATGTAACTCAAGAGGAGGGGAAAAAAAGTCCATGAGGATATTAAATCTGGTTCTCTTGCTATGTAAGTTAGTAAATATAACATAATCCATAACAGTCAGCAGAATTAAACTGAAAAAAAAATGGAGCATAAGGCTTTATGACTGAGAGGATAAACTACTTAATTAATGGAAGTTTTAGGATTAATGATGTATGGTATCATTTCTGCACTGTCTAAGGTAGAAGACTGCGTATCCATAAAATATCTATTATTGTATACAATACGAATGCAATTCTTCTGTCAGCACAATCTAAGTGTTTTGTTGTAGCAAGTCTGTTAGTGAATCCTGTTCAGGAAGATGCTTTATTCCATAGATATCTCCTTGTATAAGACAAAAGCACTTGTAAAAGCAGCTAATGCTCCTGTGTATAACCAAATATAATGCTGGCTAATATCAGCAACTACTACAGAGGTTAATTAGAAATCTGAAAGGCTGCCATAAACAAGTAATATTTACCAAATATGAATTGTATAAGAGGTGACTGTTTCAAAATCTGAATACTCTTTATCTCTAGCCATATCCACAAATATTTGACATAAAGGGAGTTTTGCTGTTCATGTGTTGTTTATATATTCAGAGGTAAAGAATGTGATGCTAATGTAGTAAAATCTGTTAGACAAGTATCATTTACAGCTCCATCTCCTGAAATAACACTGATGTAAAAAGGAAAAAGCTACTTCTGGCTTTTCCATTTACAATAGGTCAAGTCAATGAATTAAAAAATTAAAAGAATTCAGTCTTCTGAATTGGGTGAAATAACTTTTTGCTACCTTACAGATCTTTTATCTTAAATCATATTAGACCATTCTAAACAATTAGTGTTTATAAGGAAAAATAAAAGTGCTGCCTGTTTACATGTAGTTAGTTTTGAAGGACTGAAGTAAGGCAGTCCAAGCCAAGAAACGATGTTATATTCAGGTGAATGCTGTTGGGCTATCTAAGCATTCTCCCCTAATATTATTACGGTGGTTTCACTGTAAATATGCTTACTGATGTAGAAGCTCTAGGTCTATAAAGAATTGAAACACAAAGATCCATGAGCTGGGGCTCTTCAGAGGAATGTTCATGCATCTTTGGTAATTTTGCAGCCCCAACCAATTCCTAATGAAGTACATCTGCAGCAGCAAATGGATATTCAGATTACTAAATGAACAGATTTTCTCAGTGCATCAGACATAGCTTGTTATGAAGAGCCCTTTAGCTCCAATGTTTATGGCATGAGCACCAAATTATTTGGAGCTCATACTGGTACGACGTTAGCCTAAGGCAATAACCATTTTCCTCTCTACCCTCCATTACCATCTCTTGGTTTAGTATCCCATTGCTGATAGCTCAACTAGTCTCAGGAAGCAGTTGCTATTATTTGCAACAGCTGTATAGGAACCAGCACTGAGGCTTCGCAGTGTAGAAACACTGCAGCATATTCCTGACCCAAAGGAGTGTTCTGCCAAAATTCAAGTCCTTTTCCAAAGTATTGTTCCCACAGAGCGTCTTGACCAGAATTTGGAAAGTTTTCCTTGATGTCATTTGATAAAAATTTCCTCACTAATTGCAGTGGCGTAAAAATGTGAATTAGTGATCTGTTGGCTGTCATAGATCTGTTGGCTCCAGATAAAACTCTTAGAAACTTGTAAGGCAGAAGAGCTCTGTGGCCATTTTGGCCTTCTGTATTTATCACATTCCTTATTTTTCAGAAGCTTCTTATATGTGGGACTTAAGGGGGTTTGTTTCTTTGTGTTTAGATTGATAATACTGAAGAAATCACCTTTGAAGCTTTGAAGAAAGCAATTGGTAAGATTTATTACAATTGTGTTTATGCAGCATAGTTCTAGATTACTGTGGAATTGCTAGAGTAAAAGGTATTGCCAGAATAACATAATTAAAGTATTGCATTTGTTTCTTTTTGGCTAGTAAATTTATTTAAAACTTCAGTTATTTATTTCTAAATTTCTGAAATGATATCTTGATAATTTTAGTGAATTCATTTTCTGAAGCTAATGTGACTGAATGAAAAGCATCCGGAAATGCCTGTCATCTATTAAAGTTGTCCTTACAGGCCAAGCTATAAGTAACGTGAGATTTTCAAATTCCATTGCTTCCATTGTTTGCTTCTGCAGTGCACATTTGAAGGCTTACATCACTTATACTTGATACGCAAAGATTACATTTGTCTCTTTTTTTCTTTTTTTTTTTGTTGTTTTTTTTGTTTAAGATAACAATGGACTTGAAGAACAGGAAAAAGAAAAAAGGCGCCTTGTAATTGAAAAGTTCCAAAAAGCACCATTTGAAGAAATCGCAGCACAATGTGAAACCAAAGTGAGTTTCTGAAAAATGTTTTACAGCATTGAAGATGCTAGTATAAGCATTAATGGGGATGTGCTGGCTAAAGGTGATTTATGTTATCATGTTACTCTGGCTGTTACTTCTAACGAAGTTCAGTTCTTTGTCTTCAGCTATTATCTCTACTATTTTTAATGTTGGGAAATTCCAGTTACTTAAAGTGTGCTTTTGATTGTTCCTAGACCATCTGAAAAGCAATGGAAATCTCATACATTCTTCATCTTGTTTTCCTTACTGTCTTTGAAATCTAGATTCACAGTCCATTCCTATTTCATCCTGGGATAACTGGAGCAGTACTTACCTCATTATATATTTTGAATAACTAAATGTATTTCAGGTTTGTTAAACTCCTATCTGCTACAGCAAAATTTGCTATATAACTCCTTGCACTTCAGGAGAGGCTAACTCAATCTCATGCCTCTTCAGAACTCAGAATCCTTGCAGCGGTGAGAAAAGAAATCGAGATAGGAAACGCTGCCTAGATTTGCCATGTGGTGATGTGAAACACACTCACTGAGTATGGCCTGGCACATTCATTTTAGCTTGGTTCAATATATAGTAGGTAATAATTAAATTTTAATTTTTTTTTTCCTAGGCAAACTTCCTTCATGATAGACTTGCACAGATACTGGAACTCACCATTCGGTAAGGCTTTATGCAAGAAGAATATGATGAATGAAAATGAGTTACAAAGCAATTGTGATTACTTTCAGGTCGTCACGTCATAGAGTTCTTAAACACAGGCAGTAGGCAGAAAATAATTGACTTAACTGAATGTTGTGGCTTAACTGTGGTAGGCATTGAAGCCCCACACAGGCACAGGCTAACTCCACCTCAGTGGGATAGGGAAGAGAATTGGAAGGGTAAAAGTGAGAAAACCTGTGGGTTGAGACAAAGACAGTTTAATACGTAAAGCAAAAGCTATGCACACAAGCGAAGCAAAATAAGGAATTCAGTTACTACTTCCTGGAGCCATCTCCAGGAAAGCAGGGTTCCATCAGGCATAACGGTTACATGGGAAGACAAACACCATCACTCTGACCATCCCTCCCCCTTCCTTCTTTTCCCCCCAGCTTTATATGCTGAGCATGACATCATATGGTATGGGATATCCCTTTGGTCAGTTGGGGTCAGCTGTCCCAGCTGTGTCCCCTCCCAAGTTCTTGTACACCCCCAGCCTGCTCGCTGGTGGGGTGGCGTGAGGAACAGAACAGGCCTTGACTCTGTGTAAGCACTGCTCAGCAATAACCAAAACATCCCTGTATTATCAATGTTGTTTCCAGCACAAAACCAAAACATATCCCCATACTAGCTACTATGAAGAAAATTAACTCTATCCTAGCCAAACCAGTACACTGAAAAAGTAGTCTTTGTCTAAAACAGTCACTTTGATTTTCTTGTTACTATTTTGAATCTTTTAGATAGTGGAGAATATCCAGAAACCATGTCATAGTATACTTACATTCTTATATTATTTCTGTGTATATCAGTAGTATTGAAGAACGCTGCTGTTTTCCCATTGCTGTATCTGTTTGAGAAAGTAATTAGAAAATGAACACCCAAAATAGGACATGACATTATTATAGAGCGTTGTGCACATCCGTTATGTAGTATGAATAGTATTTGTTAGTAGTAAAATGCATTTTCATAGCTCTGTAACATCAGTGAAGTTGATGATTTAGACCAGAGTACAAAAAAAAAAAAAACCGAGGCACGATAATTTCATTAGAATTTCAGGAATAGGATAAAATACTGGGGGAGGGAGGGGGAGTGTAGTTTACTCTTGTTTCTCAGCTATTCGTATATCAAGTTATAAAAAAGAAAGCAGTCTATATAATTATATATATTGATTGTTCTTCTCACACAGTCCTCCACCTAGCCCCTCAGGAACGATGACCATTACTGCTGGACATGCTCATTACCAATCTGTTCCAGTCTATGAGATGAAGTTTCCAGATCTTTGTGTGTATTAAGTGTCTTCTGAAGTCTGCTGGACATTATTTAGAGTAGAGTACAATAGAAAGAACAAGATGAGTTTTCAAATTTTATTGTTTATTTCATCTAAGCTAACTTTAAAATAGTGATGGACATGAGCCAAATACAGATTACTCTAGCCAAACTCATGAGACTGTCCTGAGTTGTTTTCTTCTGTAATATATTTGAAGTTAGGTTTTTCATATATCATATGTCTTCATTTTCATATTTGAACACATGTAGAAGTCAGATTTAAAACTTGTCTTGCCATGTAGGTGAATATTTCAGTTACAGTAGGAATTTGTATTTCTGTAAATTCCTTTAATTTGAGGTATTGTAACTGAAGAACTTGTTAAAGCTTTTTCTTTTTTTTCATTTTTGTGTTGGGTCTTTTTTCTCCTCTCCACCTCAATTATGTATCTAACTAGACTGCTTTTGGCTTGCTTCATCTGAATAAATGTAACCAGTGGAGCACTACCTTAGCTCCCTTTTGTTCACGCTGTCATAGCTAGCCAACTTGTTTATTTTGGAATATATGGAAATAGACAATACCTTACATGTGTTCAAGTACAGTAAATGAATTAATGGACACTTGTTAAGTATTTTTTTGATGCATCACATACCATGCTTTTTAGATATATACGCCCAGTATATGTCCTGTGTTTCTTGCTAAAAGTTAACTGCTTTGCATAAGAGAGGAGAAATCTCCTCTTGAAGCACTGAACTGTGCAATATTTTTCATGTCTTAAGGTGTATGGTTTACAGACTGTACTTCTGAAAATGCAGTAGTATTTTACTGTCTGCTTTAGTATAAATACGTGAGAGATATATTTAGTATAGCAGAAAATAAACTGAGGGCATTTTAAATCACAAATACAGAAATTACAAATATATTCTATGAGGTATTTCTCTGTAGTTTATTACAGCTTTTTAATGATATTTTAGAAATTGAAAGAAAACTGGATGAAACCATTTAAAGACCAAGAATTTATTACATATGTTTTCAAGCAGAAGCATTTTTAGAGATGCATCGCTGTGTTCATTTTTGTTTCATTCTCAAACCTCTCTAGAAATAAGGAAAATGTGGTAACTTTCATAGGTTTATGTATCTGAGTATACTATTCAAATGTAAATAAAGTAAAACTGATATAGTAAATCACTGAGCTTTTGATGATGATTGTCAAGGCTGTCTTTATGACTCACTAAATTCTGCAGGCAAAAAGAAAAAAACAGCTTTCCTTGATGCCAGGAATAGTAAGTTTGAAGTCCCTTAATCTATCTGAATCTGAGTGAAGCAGCGCAAACGTGAATGAATGTTCTCAAATATCTATAATAAATGTAAGACATTTAAGTTAGCCAGCCATTTAGATAAACAGTGATCAGGCCATGAGCAAAGTGATCTAACTTCAGTTAGCCCTGCTTTTATCAGGAGCTTGGTTTAGATGACCTTCAGAAATACCAACCTGAATTAATCTATGATTGCATAATTCTAAGATCTGAATGGTTATCATGCCAGCTCATTTGCTGACTGGTTTGAGCATTTGCAAACCCACTGCAAAAACGGATTTTAAGTTTTTTGACCTGTAGTACAGTTTTCCACTGGACTACTTTTAAAAGCCTGATGTGACATAACATCAGAGAAATATCAGCTACTTAAACCTATGAGATAACATGCTGAGATTTTCAGAAAGCATTCACAAAACTCAAAAGGTAATTGAGACCTTCTTTTCAGTTTAACAGTGCAATCACAGCTGTTAGTGGATGACGAAACAGCCCCTTATCTACAGCATTCCGTTGTGATTTTTACTGCTGCAGCGTATCAGCCTGATCAGACCACAGTCTACACAAAAATAGGACTCGTTGTCACTCTAGCTTTTAGTTTTCACTTTTTTTTTTTTTTTAAGGTAAGACATAATAGTTTTTTGGCCTATATAAAGAGTGTAATTTTTTAAATAGTAAATCTAACCTAGGGGTACAATGTAAAACACTTATCCACTCTGTCATTTTTTAAGAACACTGTGCACTTTTGTACAAAAAGAAAATATGGAGTCAAAGAAATAAAGAATGTACTTCTGTTTGCACTCTTGCAGTATGGAGACTGTGCTGTAAATACAGGATTGTTTCTGTGACTGAATTCTGTTGCATGAATGCTGCATGTGAAAATAACTAGATTCAGCATTTCATTTTCTGTTCTGCTTATGCAGTATTTTTCATTTATGCTAATGATAGGTTGCTGTGTTTTCAATGTTCAAATGAGCTTTGTTTGGGAAATGCAGGTGTTGTGCAGGTATTGTGCAGGGAATGAAGAGCTTGTAACACTTTGTGTGTTCACATGATATTTAATTTTTTCCTTTCTGGAAGTTCAGGGAGTCTGTAAGTTGATAATTGGTCCACTCTAGCCTTTCGAGACAGCGGGGAGATGGGAGTGACTGTAATATGTATCATTTTGGTAGCTATTGTTATAGGGAGCTAATGAATGAAACCAAATGAATTAAGAATGCTGTTGTACGGTATAAAGCTGCTTTGTTTCACTTATCTCTTTATGTTCCTGAGACAAGTTGCAGAACTTAAAAGCTCCATATGCATAATGGCCCTGTGTTATCTGCAACACGTTGAGTACTGTCACAATGTTTATAAATTGGTATCCAGCTGTTTAAATGTATTCCAGCTTTTGCTTTGGGTTCTCTTTCCCATTGTGTCATTTTGAAAAATGATAGCTTTTGGTAGTGGGTCCCTTTTAAAGTAAATTAGATCCTTGAAATAGCCTGTTGTCTAAAATCAGAGTAGGGCTAATTTGTCTGTTGTTCTGATGGTCATATATTCTGTACTGTATGTGATGAACCAGTTTCAATAAATGTAAGAACACACTGTGCAATCTATATTTAAGCAATAAAATAAACCAAAATTTAAAATAAATGTTTTCTAATGTGTCTGTTAATTTTTATTGCTCACAATTAAAATTTCTATGACATAATTTTTTGGCATTTAAAATAGACCTCATTATATGTACTTTTTTTTTTTTTGCAAATGTTATAGCATTGCAGCATTATCAAACTGCTACTTTTATTTATGATTAAACCATTACTTTTACCAAGACCACCAAAAGTTGAGAATGCAACAATACAAAAATGATTTCCTAATAGCAAGCAAGCTTCAGGAAGATAAATAAGCTATGCTTTTCAGGCCTGCCTCCCTGGTTAAGGAACATATTGGGTTTGTAGTATCAATTTCAAGGAATAAAGTTGTCAGTGTGTGTAAAGATCTGTATACAGCTCACCCACAGGTAGCTTTTTTCAAAGAGTGTAATACTCAGCCCCCCATTTTCAAAGAGTGTAATACTCAGCCCCATTAGATGGTTGTTTGTTATTCTCTTTTTTTGTTAGTCTTCATTTATTTAGTTTTAATAGTGCACCCTGAGAGAAGCGGGAAGAACAATTCATTTTTTCTATTTTGAGGAAGTTGGGACCTTCTCTAGCTCACGTGAGGTATGTCCTCATATAGAGAGGATTATATTGTTGCCTTTTTTCCTGTGTTCCTAAGTTTTGCAGACATAAAAACTTTGTGTATAATTAGGGAATTTTAGAGGGTAGGTGTCATCTTTCTGTAATCTATGACTTAGCATGGATTTCAAAACCTGCTATTAAGATGTGTGGTCATCAACCCGTGTTGTTGCCCAGGTTGGTCTGAGCAGGATTTTGATGATGGATACCTCAAAACAATCCGGAGAGAAAACAGTAGCCACACTTGGGAGATTATTTTAAATCTCGTCTGAAGAGAAGACGTAGAGAGATGCTGTCACCCTGCCATGAGGCCAGACAAGGAGGGACAAAAGTGGCAGCCACTGCAGCAGTACGGCAAAAGAAAGGTGACCTGTTAAGAGCTGCTTTCTGGGTACTGGGGGATTTTCTGTCTGGAAGTGTTTGCTTCTTCACAGCGTTGCCTTTATTTGAAAGACTTAACTCATTCATTGCTCACAATTTTGACAATACTGCGATCAAGATGACCAGTACACCTGAGTAGTGCAGGTTTTCAGAGTTCATGTCTTCCTATACTGTGTCAAGTTGTTTATGAAATCGTAGTCCCAAATATTTAATACTTTATCAGTTTACAGGCAAAGAATAAGTGCTTTAAAAGTAAAAATAAGTAAATTAGTATCTAATGAAGTAGGAAATCTTGTTAGTTTAGTAATTAATAGATAGTTGTTTCCTTTGGGGAAACAACTAGGTTTTGGCCAGCTGTGCCCCAGATCTTTGAAAAATATAGTGTAAAGTTCCTGTGAGAATGAGAGAAGGAAGAAATCTAGCTATGCTAAATGTCTCATCTTGATCTGCTTATCATCTTTTTTATTATTTTAGCACTGATCTCTGAGAATGAATAAATACAGCTAATCATAGCTAGGTTATTTAAGACTTCTCTTTATCAACACAATTCATATGGTAGTAATTACTCTATGGAACAACTTTAGTGTTAAATTCTTCTTGAAATAAGAGATACTGGAAAAAAGCCCAAAGGGATTAATGGCAACATTGCCTGAATAACAGCATATTTATATTGCAATTTCTCTGTTACTTGATCAATTCAAATGATCCATCCCTATCTCTGCAATCAGAAAATTCAGCATATCTCTGAGTGAATATATGCATGTGTTATTTGCATAATGATGAATGTAATACTAGTTTCTAATAATTAGCAGAAAGGGATGTTTTTTTATCTTAAGCGTGTATTTTAAATTCAGGCTTCAGAGCAGCAGCACTGCTATCATCAATCAGAGAAATGAGCTTGTGTTATTATTAAGCAGCAATGCACTTAATTCACTTGTTTAAAGGCCAATTTTTCCCATTTCAGCTAATTAGCTCTCTGACCTTTTCAGTATAATTTTTATTTATAAATGTTGTGAAATATAAAATAGTTTCTCATCACTATGATAAAAGGCTGATAAATGTTCCAATTCTGAAACAAGTAAACATATCAGCGTAATGCCGGTCTCATCCTCAGCACTGGACAAAAATGAGCATTTTGCTTAAGTACTGAAATGCGCTCTTTCTATAAAGCATAATGTGTGTTTGGGGGGGGG